CTGTAAGGAACTCAGCAGATTTACAAGGCTTGACCAATAGAGCCGATGGTGTGAGGTATTTTCTTTTACTTCTTTTCCCTTGCAACTGCTGCTTATAATCATATTATGTTTATCAAAAGAAGTTTGGTACTGGCTATGATGCAGAACTCCTGTTTCGGAGATTATTCTGGACGAAATCACTTATAATAGTGATATTCTGTCCTCATTTTTTCAGGTACTTTCTATTTATCTCAGTGTGATCCTACTTTCTGTTTTAGTGTTTTAGTCCAATTTATGTCAAGCATAAATTAGTTCCTAATTGGGCTTTTAAGTTCGCTTACATTGATGAAGGTATTAAAATCCTCACAGATATTTGATGAACCAAAACAGAAGCTGAAATTAATTGTGCAATATCTCCAGAAGTACATTCCCAAGGTAAATTGCCTCTCTTATGCATATTTGAACAATATATGCACAGCCTAAACTGGAGTCCACAATTAAATTAAATGTTCATGAACACAATCTTCCTTTTGTCTTTTCCTATGCAAACAAAAGTAATGATTTTAACAACCTTGGGCCTTCACTATTAAACCATTTGTCTATTCAAAGTATTTTGGTAGTGCTGCCATTTTGTATAAGAGCATTCTTTTCTTGTGATTAGGCATTACCATCTATCTACTGGTTAATCCCCCAAAACCCTCTTTACTGGTTCTCACAATTTTCAGATTTGCAACCTGCATAGATCCTCAAAACGGTTTTCTTATCTTTCTTTTTTTTTTTTTTTTTTTTTTTTTTTTTTTTTTTTTAATATGTATATATTATTATTATGCAGTCTTCTGTGCGCACAAGAAGGTCTAATGGTTCAGCAAATGATGCAACATTCGAGAGCATTTTGAAATGTTTCTCAAATGCAAATAGCACAAAGAGCATTATAAAGAAAATCAGTGGAGATGTTGCTCAGTTGCTTCTAGGACATGCATTTCAGGTAATTGGAGTGGAAATAAAAAAGTGGTCTTCAAAGTCCTTTCTGTGCTTTTATATGCCTTTATATTTTATGTCGCTACTATTCTACAGTAATTGATTGGGTGTCAATTTCCTTTATAGGCTTACTTATCAATGTGCGATACTGACTCTGAGGAAGGTGTCAAAAGCTTTTCTCTTCCAGAAGTCTGCCAGAACATAATTACTGCTTTCACTTGTATTAAAAGAGAAGACAAGTAAGATTCCCTCGTTAACCCTGTTCTTCGCACCCCATTTCTGCATATCGTGTCCTTATCCAAGGACTTGACATTACGAAACTCTGAGGAGAGCAATATTATACAAGACTTGACATTTCTCCATACTATACAATATCATTACCTGTTCTTTGTGCCTCATTTCTGCATATTGTGTTCTTGTCCAAGGCTTGACATTACTATTTACTAAACTATGAGGAGAGCACTATTTTACAAATCCCCCCCACCCACCCCACCCTCTCTCCCCCAACACACACAACCCTCACTCCCTAAGTTGAGAACACTAATTTATTGCCCGCATGGGCAGCTCAACTGGTCACAAAATGCCAAAGATCGAGTCTCACTAACGACAGTTTGGGAATAACCTCCCAAATGAGGGGGACTCCTTGTGCGTAGTGAGCAAAAGTATAACATCTGTTGATCAGTTGAGTTTTCATGATTTACCCCTCCACAATCCTGTCGGGCGGGGGTGTGGGGGCGCCTGGGGTGGACAGTTCCACCTTTTTGTCACAAGAGAAAACAAATTTATTTTACAGTGAGATCATGAAGCTATTATCACATTGAACTGCTATGCAGTCAAAATTTACATTTGCTTTTATAGAAGCACTTCCCAACATGCATATTGGAAATTGGAATGCAGGGGAACAGAAATTTCAGTTTTTAGTAAGGAAACGCTATTTACAGCAGCAACCATCCTCTCATTGAAGTCGTAGGAGCACGAGATGCAGCTGTTACATTTTGGTAAGATTGTGTACATTAGGACGAGCGAAGTCATGACTGGCTACAATCTGCAGAGATTCGGTTTTTGGTAAGGAAACACAATTTACAGCAGCCACCGCCCTCTCTCTTTGATGTCGTAGGAGCATAAGACGCAGCTGTTATTTTTTTGTGATATTGTGCATGTTATGACCCGAGAAGTCATGCATGACTGGCCACAATCTGCAGAGAACAAGAACATGGTAACTCCATACCATGGAGTTGCTTTTATGTCCATAACTTCTTGCTAAAATCTACTTTTACTCTCCTCTAGGCTCTAGTCCTCTAAGCCATTGATTCTGATAACTTCTGGCATATATCTGTAGCATACTAGCATGTGTATTCACTTGTAGTCTCCTCCAGTCCTTCTGAGGCTTATAGCATATATAACTGTGTAGTTTTTGTAACCATGAAATGAAATTCTGAGTTTCCTTTTCAAAATGAATTTTCTGACCAAGTAAAACTTAGGTATGTTTGGAATGGTACTTTCAATATTCAAATAATGTATTTTTATTATATTAACTAATTTTTCAAGCGTATTGCGCAAATGAGATAATGTCTAATGTTTATTTTTAAATAAGTATTTCAAAGTATATCAATACAAGATTATATATGATATGTTATGTTCATGCATAGGTAATTGAATGTTGAATTTGTTCATTTAAATCGGTAATTCAAAGTATATGAATGCAAGATAATATATGAGATATTGATTATAATTGTTAATAAAATAAATGTTTGCAACTTTGTAATAACGTTAGACTTGCTTTAATAGGATTTTAAAAGCAGCCATAAAAATTATTTGTTTATGTGTGTGAAAGAAGTGAATGAGAGCCAAAGAAGTGATTTAGTAATATATATATATATATATATATATATATATATATATATATATTGTGACGATTTTATTCAGGCACCCGAAACCGAAACAGAGAATAAAGAAAATTATCCATGACTAACAACATTTATTTTATAATCTTTTAGACGTTCATCATTTTCTTGTTGGGCGGCTCTGCAATATATACTTCATTACGAACGGCCATTTCAGAAACATATTTATCTTCCTGAATTTTTCACTTTTAGATTTATTTAGCTGTGATTTGGTGCCCGTTATTTTTAAATTCTCAAACACCCCTCTCAGACTAATTTTTCCGGTGGAAATATTACTTCCGTTGTCATTGCATGTTAATCAATTAGTTTTTTTAATAGAATTAGTTCTCCTGGCTTGCATGTTAATATACTTTATCTATAATTATGGTGAGTGGATTAATTGCTTGGGTGGTGCTTAGTCGGGAGTTGTTTATGTTAAAGTTTGTTAACTGGGTCTTTATTTGTCTGTGCATCGGCACTGTGGCCCAAATCTTGGGCTATTTAATTCAAATCTATTTCCTTTATTTTAAGTTATTTTTGGTTAGACATTTTATTCTTTTCCTCATGCTAAGTAATTAATGAGAAGCTAAGAAAGTGAGTAAGGCAAGAATCTAGCATAGAAGCTTAAGGAATTTGTAAGGAAATTAGATTGTTTGAACTCTTGGATGGTTACAAATGATCCCCTCGATGGGTATTTATACGCATTCCACATCCTCAATATATGGTGGAGATCTACTTAATCCTACGGCTAGAATTTACTCTCTATAATCCTCTCAAAATCTCTATACAAATTTGAGAATTCTCTAAGGTTATATAATGTTCTAAGCACGTCTATACAACCTCTAGTTGCTATGTACATGTCTCTAGACTTTTCTACAAACTATGAGATGCTATGTACAAGTATAAGAAAGCTCTAGAGCGATGTAGCAAACCTCGAAATCTCGTAGGAAAGCTGTACAGGCACTACATCCTCCCCCACCTAATTTGGTGACGCCCTCATCGCCTTGTAAGCTTCCAATTTGTCTTGAAACTGCCACAAGTCTTCCTCGGGCTCCCATGTTGCTTCGGACTCGGGCAATCCTTTCCATTTGATGAGGTAGTGTGTTTGAGGTGGAACTTCTCTTTTACGAATTACCTTTGATGTGAGCACTTCGTCTATGTCTTGATCAAAAGACTTTGTTACTACAGGTGGTGCTCTTTGAGATAACCCCCAGCTTGGATCCTCCATATCCTTATGATATGGCTTAAGCATGCTCACATGGAAGACTGGATGAATTTTAAGTGAACTTGGTAGGTCAAGGTGATAGGAAATCTTACCTACCTTGGCGACAATCGGGAACGACCCTTCATATCTTCAAACTAGCACTTTATGTAAGCCTCGAAATGCCTTGAATTGTTGCGGAAAAAATTTGATGAGGGTTAGATCCCCAACGTTATATTCTTGTGGCCTCCACTTTTTGTCCGCCCACTTCTTCATACGTTTGTGAGCCTCTCTAAACATGAGCGAGCTAGATCGACTTGTTCATCCATGCTTTGCCCATCTTGACCGCTCATGGACTATGCGTATCTTAAAGTGGGGTGATCAAAGTATGAGGAGTTAGTGGTTTTTGCCCCATAACGATCTCGAACGGACTCCTTCCCGTGGCCTCACTCTTTTACAAATTGTAAGAGAATTGGGCAATATCAAGCAACTTGGCACAATCTCGTTGGTTGGCACCCACAAAGTGTCGCAAATAACACTCTAATAGACCATTCACCCTTTCGGTTTGGGGGTGAAAGGTAGTAGAAAAATTGAGCGTTGTAGCTAGTATCTTGAATAGCGTCCGCCATTACTTGCACATGAAACGGGGTCTCGATTGCTGATTATGTTCCTTCGCAAGCCCTAGTACTTCACCACATTATTGAAAAATGCCTATGTCGCTTCCTCTGTTGTGCACTCCTTTGTACATGCCTACATGAGATGAATGTCCCATACTTAGAGCGCACTCCGCGCTCGCTGGGGCGCGTTAGTGGCGGCCACTATGACTTCTAACTGTTGCTTTCCTTTAAAAAAAAAATTGTCTAAATTTTTTTCTCTCTCTCCTACATAACTTCATAAAATATTGTGCAAAAACTGAACAGATAAAATCAAAATAACATGAATCAATCCATTTTAGCAATCAAAGTCAACAGCTACGTGGACTATGATCCCAAAATAGCATAGCCCTAATCCCTTATTCCGTTCTTGGGCTCTCGGCTTCTCTTCTCCACTCCACAGCCACATACGACGGTTCACCGCTTCTCCCTCCCTCGTCTCTCACTGAGACTTCACTTCATCGATTCAGGCGTCTCAGCGTCGACCATACGGGACTCAGGCACTCACTCAGCGGCTCTGCTTCACTGAGTCACTGTAATCCAAGGCTCAAGGTAAATTTTTATTTCTTACATATTAAAATTAAAAGGGATTGCATACATTATATTCTGCCATTGCTGCTACTCTCTGGATTTCGTACATTAAATTTTTACATATTTCATACAAAATCGTATCTTGCCCACTGTGGACTTTGTTGTTGGTGTTTGAAAATTAATTCTGAAGCCTGGACAGTATGTTATTGGGTTGAAATTTTTAATTTTTCTTTAATTGTTCATTAATATTTTATGTAAATTTTTGAGAAATAACCAAAGGAGTTGCTGGGTTTGTATCACTGTGTTTGAGAAAATTAATCCTGGAGTCTCAAGTATTGCACAATAGAATTTTTAATTATTAATTGTGGAATAATATGTTAATCTTTCAGCTTTTCGCTAACTGACATAACCGACCGGAACCTATTGTTTTTCTGGCCGGTTATAGCATTTACTTCCGTCTGTTATGATGGTGAAAATTTTCAATAGGTTTTACAGTTTTTTGGTCGGTTAGACTGACCGTTTGCTCACCCTTAGACTGTTCAGTCTTGAAACTTTTAGGACTCCATAATGCAAAGGTTACTAAAGATTGCCAGGCTGTCACGTCCGGCCGCTACTTATTTTTGCGGCCATGGTTCATTTCAATCCACGGTGGCGAAGCAGCACCATACCATTTCAGTTCCGCGAGGGGTTTCTGGTAACTTGCAGAAGAATGCTCTTCCTGGCGATTTGTTGAAATGGGGGTCGCTTGGGTTCTGTAGAACGTCGAGATTCGCCAATGGGTTCACTCCGCTGCAGCTGAAGCCGCTTGACTCGATCATGAGCGTGGAGAGGGCAAAGAACAAGTCCGCTGAGGAACTTGCTGATATATGGGATGATGTAAAGTTTCCTACTTTTCTCTAGTTTTAGTTTCTGTTAAACCAATTATGTTTGGGTTGTGATCTCTGATGCTGGTTTTTGATTCTCCATATTTTAGTTTCTACTGCTGATTAGAGTCCATAAGGCTTTATTATGATTGCTATAATAAAACTCGAAGAAAAGAATGTGCTTTCTTGTAATCTGCATTGTATGGTTTTCTTTCTACTAAGGGGAAGCGCTACTCGAGAGTGGGCACTGGAAGCTCGCTTTGTGACCGAGAGTGCGCACTGGTGAAGCCAGCTTTGTGAGAGGTCTGAAAGTGGGCCTTGTGACCCTAGCCACAAGGAGGTAAACCAGCCTAGGTTGCTCATAGCTGACCGGTTCAAACCGAGAAGGCTAGGACCTCACGGTTACCAAGCTAACTGCTTGACCAACTCGGCTGGGCTTGCCCCTTTATAAGGCTTTCTTTCAAACCATGGGCGATATGGGATGTTTAGGAAGTGCATTCAAACTATGTGGGAATAATTTTATCCTTCTGCATTATTTTCTTGAAACTGAACATCTTTAGTGGAGTGGCATTAAAATTGTATGGAGTAAATGCTTTTCAGAGTTCAGATGGTGCTATCAAGAATAGTTAACACCTTTGTCTTTTGCCCCTCAATGTTCTGATCTTGAATGTAACTAGAGGTCATAGTGTTCAGGTTCCATAGCTAGGAGCATTGCCGAGTGGATGATGCACCCTTTACTTTAATTTGGATGTTATGTTGCATAAAGTGTCTGTTTTCCATGAAATGGTGCATTGCATTTTGATTGAAAAGACTTCACATGTTGTAAGATGTTTTATGTATAGTAACATTCTTTCTGTATTTTCTTTTTTACTGGTATTATACTGTATCAGTACCACTTGGGAAGAGGTCACATTGGAGTATCGATGACAGCAAAATTATACCATCTATTGGAGCAAAGATCTGGAAGTTGGTAATCTATTCACAATTTCCTGCTCAATGTCAACTTTTCTTATTTATAATTGAGTTAATTACCGAAATAGTCCTTGACTATAACGAAATTACCGATTTGGCCCTTGACTATTTTTTGACCAATTAAGTGCTTCAACTTTAAAAATCTGGACCAATTTGGCCCTCCGTTTATTTTTCCATTAGACATCCGTTAACTCGGGACCAAATTGGTAATTTTGCTATAGTCAAGGGGCCATTTCGGTCATCACATGCACTATTTTCTCCGAAAAATTAATTACTAAAATGGTTCCTTGACTATAGTGAAATTACTAATTTGGTCCCGAGTTAACGTATGTCTAACGGCAAAACAAACGGAGGACCAAATTGGTTAAGATTTTTAAGGTTGAGGGACTTAATTGGTAAAAAAAAATAGTCAAGGACCAAATTGGTAATTTTGCTATAGTCAAGGGACCATTTCGGTAATTAACTCTTTATAATTCTATATCCGTCATGCAGCCGATATTTTGTGATCCCACTGTGGAGAGGGAGTGGATACTCGACAATGTTTGTGCAAGGTCAGAACTATGAAACTGATCTTATTATTGTATAGTATGTAATATCTGGCAAAATGTCAATACTTTCACCTTTTTTTTTTTTTTTTTTTTTTTTTTTTTTTTTCTTTTCTTTCTGTTTTAAGCCATTTTGTATGCTTAAGAATGAGGCCTTTTGCCAGTAATGGCATTTTAATTTACTTCATAAACGAATCATGCCAGGGCTTAAATTGTCGGTGACTCATAAGGCTCCCAAATCACCAATATCTGCTTTAAAGTTTAAACAGTTGATTATATGAATATATGATTGTCTAGAGTACCGTACTTTAACTGAAACTCTTCTCCCGACTACTTATGCATAGCTATTCCTCTCCCTGTTCTTCAGTATGCCAGTTTGCTTTTTATTATCCCGCCATCCTGGGGTGACAAGGGTGGGTGTTGTTCCAGTCGATACCAGAGAAGGGAGAGAGGCCCGCTTTTATGGATCTTTCTTCTGCCCGACTATTTTTTATTTTTATTTTTGGTCAGACCACAAGGTGTCCTGAGCAGGCTCTAACTGTAGGAGCCACATTTAAGCCCGTACTATACTCAGACTAATCCCTATTCGCACCGGCCCAGCCCAATTAAGGGGCAAAGTGCTGGCCAGATTGGTTTTTCCATACGAAAGGGGGTTCGAACTCTCGACCCCGCTATTCTTAAGGGGCAAAGTGCTGGTCAGATTGGTTTTTCCATACGAGAGGGGGTTCGAACTCCCGACTTCTGCCCGACTATTTATGCTTAGCTATTCTTCTCCCTGTTATTCAGTATGCCAGTTCGCCTTTTATTATCCCGCTATCCTGTGTGACAAGGGTGGCTGTCGTTCTAGTCAATACCCGAGAGGGAGAGAGGCTCGCTTTGTATAAATCTTTCTTCTGCAGTTATTTGTTGTGCAAGAGATAAAGGGACTAAATTTTCTTCTTCATGCCTGTTAACATCTGTGCAGTACAGACACCGCACATCCTCATCACGGGTCTCGAGGACTACAAAGCAAGAGGAACACAAGCCGCCCCATACTTCACCATTTCTTATTACACAGAGTTTGCGGAAAGCAAGGACCTGGTGCTTGTAAGGGGAGATATCGTCTTCACGAGCAAACTCACTGATACCGAAGCGAAATGGCTATTGGAGACTGCACACTCTTTCTATCTGAACGATACCAGGTACAAACTCGTCGAACGCTTCAACAAAGAAACGAGGGACTTTGAGTTCGAGGATGTTTTGCGAGCGCTGGAAATGCCCATCTTGTAGGCGAAGCAAATGTGATAAAAATATTTCCCTGCGAGCTCTGAGCCATTTGAAATAAGGCGAGTTCGGTTAGGTAGCTGCCAAGGTTGCCTGCAACTTGAAGATGCAGTCTTAGATTATCCACAATGTTTCATGGGAGGGACAATCTCTGAAATGCCTTCAAAATCCTTCAAGGCTTGAGTTTATTAACTGTATTCATGGCATTAGTGGAACTTGTTGATTAGATTAGTGAATTTTACTATGAATCAATTAAATGAACATTGGCCAAATTAGCATTAAAAAAATTTGTATGTTTCAAATAAAGGAGAGTGACACTTTTATCTCTCACTTATGATTTGTGTATGAGTTTAGTCCCAATCAACCACTTTATTAAGTGGCAAAGTATTTTTTTTTTTTTTTTTAATACTACTAACTCTATTATAATGTACTAATGTAGTATCTGTTTATAGCTACTTTCTTAACAAATTGAAGCACAAAGAGTTAATATCACCCTTCACTAAGGTTCGAACCCACAACCTTCATTATAAGGGAGCAATTTGGTGTCATTGAATCACACGGTCCTTGGCAAGTGACAAGTTTAGTTCTAAAGAGATTGAATCTTCAAGGGTCCTTGGCAAGTGACAAGTTTAGTTCTAAAGAGATTGAATCTTCAAGTTTAATAATAACTGAAAGACTAAGTGGGTGTTTGGTAAATGGCTGTTAGCTGAGTGAGTTCGAACTGATTTTCTCAAAAAGCTGATCGAAAATACTACTTTGAACAACTTTTTGAATTTTAGCATTTTGAAACAATAAGTTATTACAAAAAGCTAAAAGCTAATTAATCGAACACGATCAGAGTCTATATCTACACTTCAAATAATTAAATGATTAAATTTGCACCACCACTGGACACTGGTGGTGGACTAAAAGTTTTCTTTTCCTTTAAACAATTTACGAAAACAAACAAATCTCGATTTTAGTTCTTGACTATTATAATATTGTCACAATTAGTCATAATCTTTTAATTTTGTCTCATTACATAATTGGTTTTCATTTGTTTGTCACAATTAATCATCCGTTTAAATTTATACCATTCAACGATTTAACACATAGGGTTAGCGTGTAATTTCATCATTCAATTAAAAGATTTAACGAGAGATATAATGAAATTAAATATTAGAGCAAGAAGCTTGAATGATTTATGATTAAATTATATGTTATCCCTCATTATTAAATGTTGGATGACAAAAATTTAAATGGAACACTACTTAAGACAAGCAAATAACATTAAATGATGTAATGATGCAAAATTAAAAGAACAAGACTAAACATGTAAATGCTAGAGTAGTCGATGACTATAAGAAAACAACACTTTTGGTTTTTAAAATTATACGGAGTACTATTTTGTAAATTCAATTACTATTTTCAACGTGACTATTTTAGTAATTTTACAGTAGCTATTTCGTAAGTAATGTAGCTTGATATCTTTGGTTATGAATTTATAAAATACCACTATCTTAGATCAAATATATTGTGCTTTCAAAAAAAAAAAAAAAACAAATATATTGTGGTCTGATATCATCACTATTACCTTGCATATAAAAGGTCTCAGGTTTGAATTCCATCTTAATCAATGATTGGCATAATATTATCTCGAATAATTTGTGTTAACTCAACATTATTGTGAAATGAACTACTTTACCTAAACAAAGTAGCTACATCACGTCGGCACGAGCTTAACTCACTGGTCTGGTTTTGAATCTCAGTAGCAACAGTGATAGTGTGCCAGCTCTATGTTGGCCCTTTTCGGTGAAGAAAAGCAAGGATGTCAATTTTAGCCTGAACCAGATGGATTGACCTAATAAACCCTAAACTGATAAGCTCGATGGCTCGATAGGGCTAGCTCGAAATTTTATGGGCTAGTCTGATACCTCTTTCCTTATTAAAAGTTATTCTTTATTATAGATTATAGAAGTAATGTGAAACATAACAAACATGGAACTTATAGGTTTAGATCAGATCGGAAAAATATACAACCCAACTTGTCTAAAACAAGGGCATTTTTTAATTGCTTTAAATGTGTGTACCTATAAACCCGACATTCCGACAATCCGTAGTTTAGAATTAAGACCAACTCTAACTCGACTATAAAATAATAAAATAACCGATTAATCCGAATTGATAAGTTCAACCGAGCTAGCCCGAACAGAGCGAGCTGGCCCGATTGACAACCCTAAAGAAAAGTAGCTACATCAGTTGAAAATCCCAAAATTAGGATACGAAACATTACACTAATACGGAGTAATTTTTAGATTACATTAAAATACCTTTTGGTTTCCTCACCCCTGAAGAAAACTTGAAACCCTCTATTACATTGGCTAAGTCAATGAATCTTCATACTTGAATTGATTGCGTAAATTACCAATCTCCCACTACAGAAGAAGCAGCAGTGAGTAGTCTGCTTGAGCGAGCAAAAATGGCAGACGCATCGGACGAGGCCAATGACATCGAGAAGCTCTACGAGTATGGCGAGCGCCTCAACGAGGCCAAAGACAAGTCCCAGGTCCGTACGTTTATCCTAATTCCGCCCCTTCCGATTCGCTTCCCTCATCCCTCGTCTTCCTAGGGTTTCCACTTGATGTGTTCCTGTGTTTGTGCTAATTCGGTCCCGATTTCTTGCGTAGCAAGTGGAGGACTACGAGAGTATACTCACGGCAGCTAAAAGCAACAGCATCAAAGCCAGGCAATTGGCTGCGCAGCTCATTCCCAGGTTCTTCAAGTACTTCCCTAGCTTGTCTGTCAGCGCGGTAGATGCACACCTCGATTTGTGTGAAGCAGAGGAGCTTGGGGTCAGTCCTTCCTCATCTCTTTCTAGTTATTTGGGCGCCTTATTGTGTTTCTATTTATAAGATGGGATTTTGTTGTCAAGTAGGTTAGTTCCAATTGGTTGGGTAATGTAATCTTGAAAAAAAAAACCTTGCTTATAGTGCAATTCATTAGGGGCTAAATTGAATGTAGGGATTGTTGATTTATCATCTTCTTCGAGGAAGAAATTCTATGAGTATTGGGCTTGATGTTGTGGTTAAATGATCACCATTTACCATTAAGTCATGTAGCACAAGGCATCAAACCTCTTTGACAACAAAGATTGTTACATTCAGTCATTCACAGCACTTGTATGTTGTGGGAGGCTACTGAATCTCATATTGTAAGAGGAACAATATGGCATGGATTGTGTTACACTTTCTTTTAACATATTATTCAAAATAAATTATGGTTTGCATCTTTCACCATTTTCATGCAGTTTGTTTCTTGGTTGTGCTTGTTTTTTCTTTTTCTTTCTTAGTGTTGGTGGTTGGGTGTGGTAGACTGGTAGGAGTATGCTAGTTTTGTCAAGTGATACAATTCTGTTAGTTCCTGAACTGCATATGAAGTTGGTGAGCTGTTAATGACTACATTTTGTCTAGATGTTTTTTTGGGTGTTTGTTTTTGAATTTATTTTTCCATCTACCACATTCAGATCCGAGTTCAAGCCATTCGTGGTCTTCCTCTTTTCTGCAAGGATACACCGGAGCATCTTTCCAAAATTGTTGACATACTTGCTCAGCTTCTTACTGCTGGTAACGAATTTTTACATATTCCATTCTATTTTGAGATTATTTTGAAAAGTTTTTGGAATTTTATCTCCTAGTATTTTGTGATTCTTGCAGAAGAAAATGTGGAACGCGATGCGGTACATAAAGCCCTTTTATCCTTATTGAGGCAGGATGTGAAAGGTAATTTCATTTATCTTAAAGATGCATATCTTTGCACTCTTAATATTAAGTTCAAATTTAAGATCAAGCCTATTCATAAACATTATTTATCATTACCAAATGCCCTATTCTTTTGTTGGCCTCTAACAGTGTGCTTCTCAATCATTTTTCCATATAAACATGTGAAATAATTGTTATAAGGTAATATTAAATTGTTCAACATAATTATTTTCTTCCCACTAAGAACTCAATGGTGCTATACCTATGTGGTTGCACTATTATTATTTTTTATGTTACAGGTAAGGCATGAATGGAATAGTCAAATCTAACTGAAGCAATTTCTTGACTTTGAATAGTCAAATCTTACCTCTAACATTTGAATATTCTTTTAACTGTGTGAATACTTGACTTCCACTTTATTTTAGCACTAAGTTTCATTTCAATGTATTTAGATTTAGGATGTCAATAGTTCATTTCATTTAATTGATGAACCACTAGTGAATGGGCTTAAACTTTGACTGTTAAGGGAACTGATTATCTTCTTGATTCAAAGCCAAACTTTTTTGCCTAGAGTCTTTTATATTTTTATCTGAGATTTGTTTTTATCAAATTTGGTGCCAGCTTCATTGACAGCTCTCTTTAAACACATTGAGAGTATTGATGAGCAGATGACTGATGAAAATCTCCGTGAGAGGACATTGATATTTATTAGAGACAAGGTAATAACACCTTTGATTTGACTTAAGGTACATTTATGTATCTCCAACCTGCATGTAAGTGATTTCTCCATGACATTATGCACAGGTTTTTCCTATTAAAACTGAGCTCTTGAAGCCCCCAGATCAAATGGAAAGACATATAACTGATTTGATAAAAAAGGTACACCAACACTTCTACTATTGTCTTCTAGCTGCTTGGATGAGGGTTTCTTTAATATTCTAGCTTACAGTTGCTTCTGCTTACTATATTATAGATCTGTTATTTCAAAGAGTTAATATGGACCTATTTTTGTACCAAGTGAAGAATATTAGCAGTAGTAACAAGTTGATAATAACACAAATACATTAAATATCAGATAAGGAACTTTTTTTTTTTTTTTTTTTTTTTTTTTTTTTTTTTTTTTTCGTTAGGAATACAATATAACTCAGTTCTCTTTCAGAGTCTGCAAGATGTGACAGGAGCGGAATTTAAAATGTTTATGGATTTTCTTAAAAATTTGAGCATTTTTGGAGAGAAAGCACCCCCGGAGTGTGTGCAAGAACTTATTGAGATCATTGAAGGCCAAGCTGATCTGGATGCTCAGTTCAATGTAAGCAATTATCTTGCACTCACAATCCCCTTCTCTCTCCCCCTATACTGTCTTACAAATGCAGGGTGTTGTGTACACTCACAAAGGTGGTCATACATATTGAAGAAATATACTTTGGACTTATAAGCAACACATGCTCAGTGTAGCCTACATCTGGGTTTCTTTGTCTTGTCTTTTTCATCGAGCCTTTTGATTAGTGAACCTCTTAATATCCTTAGATGTCATACTAATCACAATGCACTTTAGTATCCACCTGATAAGCTCTGTCTTTGTCTACACTTTGGAAACATATTTTACTGTGCCTAGTTTTTTCTAACGGTTGGATTTCAGAGCAGCACATATGTTCTTGATTAAGGTTTTTATACTGGACTGATAATGATAGTATATGGGATTATGGGATCATAAAATTTTAGGTGATTTCAGTCACCATATGTGCTAATTGCTCTACTTATAGTTTCCAAAGTTCCATGGTGCTATGTTGTCAGGTTCAGGTAGATGGGTATGTAGATTTTGAAGTTGATCTTTTGATCCTATGTAATGAAGCATGATGCTTCATCTGAACCTTGGATTCATTTGCTTATTGTTTACTAGCTTATTATTCCAGAAATTAGTTTGTTGATTCCTAAAAAGATAGATGTGGTAGAGATCAGGTTCCAGGTTTTTTTTCTTCTTTGTTAATTCTATTTTGAATATGGAGTCATCTAATAAATTTATGAGGTCTGGAGATTTTATTATAAAGGTCATAAATGGGAGAAGGCTGCTGCAGAGCAGGTCTAAATGTTAACAAGTCGGCTGGAGTTAAAATCAATATCAATTTGTGAGAGAGCTGCATATGAACACTTGCATTGTTAATATGAATTCTTTTAAAAAAAGAGAGAACAAGAGACAACAGATTGATATTAATATTTGAATAATTTGGTTTCTCCTTTATATCTTAAGTAGTTAAGTGTTTGCTGTGCTCCTTTAATTGCTACAATCTAAGTTGTGTTTGCCACTATAATTTCTCTTTACATGGGGTCTCCTAGCTGCTTTTCTTCTTTTAAGGGTAACCAATTCTAGTTTCTAACATAATGGCATGTGAACTTGATAGTGATAGGGGGTATTTTAAGGATGAGAGAAAGAATTCTAATTTTCTAGAAGCTCCTAATTGAGGCTTGCTTTTTAGGAAAAGCCTCTTTTCTAAGAAGGCAGCAGCCTGGTCTTCTCTGGGGCTTCCATCCTCCCTTTGGTTCAAAATTGTGAACTGAATGACATACATTATCTTACTATCTTTTGCTGTGTAGGTTGATGATGGAGACCACATTGATAGATTGATATCATGCTTGTATATGGCCATTCCATTTTTTGAGGTTTGAGATAATGCTTAAATCTTTATTAACTGTTATCTTTCTGTAGACAAATGTTTTAACTAATTGAACTTATACACTGCATGCAGAGGGGTGCATCAAATAGCAAGTTTCTCAACTATTTGAACAAGCACATTTTCCCTGTTTTTGATAAGGTAATGTCTTAGAGTTGACTATTTCATTTAGTATTCATATTTCATCATAGGAAGGGATGGCCCTTTAATTTTTGGGTGACTGAAACACATTTTTGTAAAGATATTTACTCATGATTCTAGGAAGAGGAGTTACATTTGGTATTCTAACATGTTCTGAAGGTTAGTTTCTGAAGTTTGTTCTAACCTCTCTTCTCTGACAGCTTCCTGAAGATCGAAAAGTGGACTTGCTCAAAAACCTTGCAGAGAGTTCACCATACACAGCACCTCAGGATTCGAGACATATCCTACCCTCAGTTGTTCAGCTCCTAAAGGTGATCAATTAGAGCCATAATTTTCATCCATTATTACATCCCTGATATCTTAGTAGTTGTTTTCCTTGCATGGAAGCATAGATGATTCTCCTTGTATGCCAACTCTTTTATACAAAGTTACCAAATCTCTCAACTCTGTCATGTTCATATATCTACAAATCAAAACCTTCTCTGAATATATTATTATTTTTGGGAGGATCTTATGCTTTGTTTCAATTTTTCCCTTATGATACTGCTTTCTTTGTGATTGTGTTCTGAGTACTTGACTCAATAACATATTAATGCAGAAATACATGCCTCGAAGAAAAGCCGGAGAAGAGATGAACTTCACATATGTTGAATGTTTGCTTTACACTTTCAACAATTTAGCTCACAAGGTATTTAAAATTTAATTGACACTTAAAATATATGGATTATCTATAAGTGTTGAATACTTATTTAGTCTTTGTGGTTGGATAGGCTCCAAATGCCACTAATAGCCTGTGTGGTTACAAAATAGTCACTGGCCAACCATCAGACAGGCTTGGGGAAGACTTCTCTGAGTGTTACAAAGATTTCACAGAGCGGTACTTCATTTTTCCCCCCTCTATTCTTTCTTCTTTCCATTTTGGTGTTGTGAATATTGGGAAAATAGTTAATTCATCACAAACACACTTATGAATTCACACAGTTTTGATAAATAAAAGAAATCTTATGGATAGTTAAAAAAAAGGAACTGTCACACTTAAGAAGAGTTGAAGAAATTTCAAAGTCACGTATAGAAGATCTATCATATATAGTGAGGTTCAGTGCCTTAACGCGTCTATGGCCTAGTAGCTTGGATCGCCTGGGAATTATGAGAACCTGCTAGTTTTAAGAATGAACAGCTTTAGTGAAGCAAAAAGATAATGTTTTGACGGTTACGTGAAAGTGAAATATATGCTGATAAGAATTCTTGATATAATTGTAAATTTTTATGTGCAATCTTATCAGAAACAGAATGAGAAAACCATAGTCACATAATCATCTCTGTTGAAAAGCAGTGGAATTTCTATTATTAAGCTTCAGAATTGAGATTACACAAGGCCACATCATATGTAGTCATTCAAATGAGACACAAGAGTAAATGATAGGGCTGCTCAAGGTAACTACTACTGACATACAAGACTTAGGAAAAGACAAGACAAAATACATCAACAATATCAATGAAGCAATTAATGAAAAGTGAATATTTTACATGACATTGTTGGAACTACTAATTGTTTTGGAGGGAGATAATATGTGTCAATTAGGGTGATAGGCTGATAGCAGAAGTTCAGAATTCAGATAGCTTTGTTATAACCTGTGGCAATCACCCTTTAGTATACTGTCTATCTGCACGGGAACTCATTGTCCTTTTCTTGTGCTGATTCAGGTTAAAGTGTGTTGAAGACCTAGCTAGGGCCACTATAAAGAAATTGACTCAGGGAATGGCTGAACACAACAAAGAACTAGCTGCAGTTAAAACTGATGAAGAGAAAGCCAAGATTGTGAGTCTGTTCTCAAAGCTTTTGGTATTTCTTTTTAGTCACTTTATAGTATATGTTGGAGAGTAAAGTATGTTTTTTTTAACTGCAGAAAACTCAAAAACAGAATGCCACAGCTGGGTTACGAACCTGCAATAACATATTGGCTATGACACAGGTGACTGGAAGACATTATTATTTTTCCTAAATATTATGATCAGAAATTGGTTGTGTTTCTAACAGTATTTTTTATGACTTGCAACTCAGCCTCTACATTCAAAATCACCTACATTTATTGGGGACAAAAAGGTCAATCTTTCCTGGAGGGAAGTTCCAAAATCCTCTGCACCATCAACTGCTAAGGCGGCTGGGTATGTTAAAGCTCTTCCCATGTTCCTTCTTAAGATGGTTTGTGCTTTTGCAAAAAAAGTTTATTCAACTTCTTGTGTTTGTTCTCATAGTTGAATCATATCTCCTAGACTAGAAAGCACCACTGACTGCATGCCAATTGAATTATCACATTTTCTGGGTCAGACAAGTGGGGAAGTGCATTAAGTTTAATATATTCTGTATGAACACAAATACACAATCAGATATTCAGATGCCACAGTTTGTCCAGAAATGAGAATTGAGTGTGTGATTTGTCAGCGTTTTTAGACTTAATAATATTTACCCATTTTTGTGTATGGAACAATCTAGAAGGGTTGTATACTCATTTTGGAGATATTCAATCTATTTTCTCTGCAGAGCAAAGCGATCTGCTGGTGCTGTCAATGGTTCCAGCAATATGGGTTCAAAGAAGGGCCGTGGAGGTGGCAATCCCCACCAGCTGGTCAATAGGGCTTTTGAAGGTCTGGGATATGGTGGTAGAAGTGGTGGAAGGGGCAGAGGTCGGGGACGGGGTCCACGCGGTAGGGGAAGAGGATATCGCTAGGTATGGTCCCAGCGACATTGTAGCGATTAAAATCTGCACTCAGAAAGCTGATTGGAGGAGTGAAAAATGTCTGTAGATGCAATATTATCAGGAGGGAGAAGCTGATAACTTACTGAACTGGCATCACTATATTTTCCGAGCCACATACATGGTTTGAATACTTGATACCCAGATTCCCGTCATTTTGCAAAGTTGAAATTTATTTCCTGCAAGGTTAACTGGAGACACCCCATCCAAGAAAAAACACTGGCCACACAATGTGAGGAAAATTATGTCGGAACCTTTTCTAGTAACGTTGATAATCTTGTAATTCTTTGTTGTATCCATGGTTATGCACCCTTCTCTTGTGTACTTAGAATTTGAGCACTGAACTGATTTCTTGACTGCTGTCTACTGCTATTAGATTTTGTGCCTTCGCGGAGTACTTGATAATATTATGGTAATGCTACTTACTTTGGTTATAAGTAGGTTTCTCATGGGACTAATGAACACATCACATCGTGTTTGTATCACTTTTGCCATTTTCATAGGAAGATAGATGATGTTTTACTATACATATTCTCATTTTATGCTTTACTATGCAACGAGTATTATTAGTTATTGTAGATTATTCTTATGGGTGTTTGGTTCAGGTAATCTGAGTCTGGTAATGTTATATTACCTTGTTTGATTCAAGTTATGATATTATTTGGTAATGTTATATTACATCAAAGCTGATATGACGGTAATGTGATTACCTTGAATTATTTTAACTTTGTCCTTAACTAATAATAATCATAATAATAACAACATATATAAAATAAATATATGTTTAAATAATTAAATATATATATTTATATATTTATTTTTTATTAATATTTTAGTATTGATATACATTCATACATATAAATAAATAAATACATATGCACATACATGATTTCGTGAACCAAACGCTGCTTAGGAAGATACTTAGAGTGCATTTACTAATGAGTCATTTTATACAAATGAACATATAAATTAATTGAGTTTTTATTTTTTTGAATGACAAGAAAACTTGTAATTACTATTTATACTCGAGGAATGAGGTATGCACTAGATAAATTTTATTTTTATATAGTAGTTCTCAAAATTAGGGATTTTTTTTTTTTTTTACTATTTTATCATTTTTATATTTGATTTTTTATTATTATTGTAAATTTTTTTTTTTGTCACATTTGGTCTTTTTATTCAATTGGTTTTTTGTCAATTCTTTATGATTTATTGATTTTTATTAACATTAACTCCAATATCAATCAAGGACCTTGTGGTGGTCTATTGGTATTAAGTTGCTCCCCTATGTGTGGGAGGTTGTGAGTTTGAGCTTCATTGGAGGTGGACTATTGACTCTTTGTCTTTATAAACATATACTAAGTTGTAATAGAGTCAGTAGTATTAAAAAAAAGACTTCGATATCATTTAGACACCCGAAATGCTCTTTCAAATAACAAACATAATTGTTATGTAGGTGATTTTAGCAAATGTTAGATGGAAAATTAATTAGAATGATCAAATGTGGTTAGGGATGGCAATGTGCCCCGTCTCCAACGGGGATCCCCGATCCCCGCCCCGAAAAAGACGGGGATGGAAAAAATTAACGGGAACGGAGACGGGGATACCCGCTCCATCCCCGTCCCCGTCCCCAAATATATATATATATATACACACACACACACACTAACAGTATACTATATATAAATGTGTGTAATGAAATATATATATGTTTTATAATTAATATTGACACAGTATATATATTCTATACTAACAGTATAAAATATATATACTAATTAATGTTGATAGAGTAACTAACAAAAAAAAAAAGAGGATCACAAATAGTAAAGATGAAGATCGATAATGACAATGCTACTCAAAATAGAATTAAGAAGGCTTAAAAAAATTCTAACCAAAAGTATTATTTATTTATACTATCATTTTTAGACTAAATATTTAGACTATCGATTTTACAAAGTTACAAACATTTATTTTAGTGACAATTATAATGAATCTCCTATATTATCTTAGCTTGCATCCATATACTTTGATTAAATGAACAAATTTGACATTCAATTAACTTCTCCTATATAATCGTGCATTGATATATTTTGAAATATTTATTTAAATATAAATATTGGGCATAAGTCCATCTGCGCAATACATGTGTAAAACTAGTATATATATAGAGCAAAAACCATTCCTCTCTACGCTAATCAATAAATAATGAGTTATTGTTTATGTCACAAAATTTGACTCTTATCCACTAAAAACATGATTCATGATATTTAAATAAACATAATATAAGCCAAACACTTTGTGCTCATATGACATCTCCCATGTGAGAGGTCATGAGATCGCCTCTCAATGGAGGGGTTGTAGTATATTTGAACAGATACTAGCAGCATTCAAATATATATATATATATATATATATATATATATATATATATATATATATATAAACGCATAAAAGTTAATTTTTCATCAATTTACTTAACAATTCGCTTATTAACTATGTTAAACTAAATTTTTTTCTTCCTATTTTTCATTGCTCCCACTAATAAGAAGGTGTGTATCGGATCCATCATTATACTAGTGTAGTGTAGTACAGTTCATGTTGTTGCGCATGTGCTGTTAGGTTTTAGTGGAGGAGCTTAATTGATTTATCAAAACAGGAAAGATACAACAATAATTCATTCTATGCATGTGCATATATGTTTCACTCAAAGTGCAACACTAGCAAATAGTCCTCATCAGCGTAAAACAAATCTTCTTCCATATTATTTAGTCACGAGGAAACCAGTAATCACTATACGAAAATGTGCAATAAATTTTTTTTACTCTTGCGTAATAGTTTGCATATATACGACACATGATAGAGATAAATCGTACTAATAAAATTCTGTGCGATGAGTTTGATTGAGAAGTAGGTAAGAAAATCATGTTTCACCCACTCTACTACCATTCCGGAGTATCTTCTTGTTAAGGATATATGTGGCTGACGTTTTCTATTTTTGTATTTGTTCTAGTTATACTCCTTTAGAATAGCTATGTTAGATTAGTTGTTACAACTCCTTAGCTATTAACTACATGGTATCAGAGCCATACTCTCCATAATATATATATATATATATATATATATATATATATATATATATATATATATATATATATATATATTCCCCTTACCCACCTTGTGAGTTCATGACCTCCCAATTTGTTGTGACCACCACTGATGTTATTCAGCTCAATGCTCCATCCAACTTTCCTATCAAACTCACCCCACACTTCTTGGGGCAACATTACTGTTACCATTCTTGAATAAGTAATATTAATCTCACTTTTTAAAATATATTTTTAATCATTGTCATTGCATGTCTATTGGGGCAACATAAATTAGGACGAATAATCTTGTGTAAAATTGTTAGATGAGTAATACATTTTAATTAAAAGTATTATAAATCTTACATAAGAATTATTCACTGTGACATGACATTTTTCTAGTTTTTTTTCTCCTCTAATCCCTTGAAAATACACCAAACATTTTTTTTTATATAACCCAAACCCCCAAGCAATTGTGCATACAAAATGTGCAACCCAAGCTTACCCAAAGGAACATTACTTGCTCTCGAAGAGAGTGACCGAATAAATAAAATATAATTCTTGAGCTCGTTGCACCCTCTCGATCAAGCCCGAAATATTAGGCACAATACATTAATGAAAAATATTATGCATACTCTCATTTTCTACTCCTAACTTCTACTTCACCTTCAAATTCTAAATGTACACTTTTCTAGAAAACCAGGGATGGAGTCACTGTGGGGGCAACTGCCCCCCTCCAACCACCCCATCCCTTTATATATATATATATATATATATATATATATATATATATATATATATATATATATATATATATATATATATATATATATATATATATATATATATATATATATATAGCATTAAAGTTTATTTAAAACCTATATTTGTCTTTTCTTCTCTCATTTATTTTATCTCTTCCATCCATTCACAAGATAAATTAAATATTTTTAGACTATTTTTTATGAATTATTTAATTGATAAATTAAATATTCTTTTAGTCTACTTTTTATGAATCATTTAATACATAGATAAGGGTCAAATAAGCTCTCAAACTATATTGATTTGTGCAATTAGGTCCTTCAATTTCAAAAAGCTCCAATCAGAACCCCAAACTTATATATATATATATATATATATATATATATATATATATATATATATATATATATATATATATATATATATATATATATATATATATATATATATATATATAAGTCCAATTAGCCCTATTTTGCCTGTTGCCTTCAGGTTACCGGTCAACTACTTAATGATTGGATTTTTCAAATTTGATTTGACAAGCTGATGTGGCTTTCACATATTTTAAAAAATAATATATTAAATTTAATCTAATTTTTTAATAATAGTAATCATAAATTTTTTTTTAAAAAAAAAAAATTAAAATCTTCTCAATTTTATTCGTTGTTCACCATCCACGCGAATGATCACCGCCCACCGCTCGCTATCAGCGGCTCACCGCACACCTGGAAGAAGAAGGCAATGACGGCGGCAAGCAAATGGAGCAGCGGCAGGTCGGCGGTTGCAATAACGCAACAATGGTGGCTGAAACAGAAAAGCGTATTTTCATAATAACAAAGAAAAACAAAAATAAGATAATAATAATAATAATAATAATAATAATAATAATAATAATATGACATGGCATTAACTTGTAAATAATTTATAAAAAATAGGTAAAAAGGGGGTTTTTTTTTTTTTTTAAAGGAACCATCAAGGTATATATTAGAGATATGCTGAAATAGAATCCGGAGGGACACATTCCCAGTACATATATAGGAGTAGATAGATCAAAAGCAGAAGAAGCTAAAGTATGTGCTATAATATTATTTGATCTAGGAATAAAATTAATCGAACAAAAATCAAATAGAGACATAGATGATCTGCATCCATCTATAGCATAACCAACATATGAGCGAATCAGTGTAGTGGCAGAAGATAGATAATGCTGAAGTGTCTGGCAATCTGTATAGAGCTTTACAGACCGTTCACCACGACCCCATAACCATGATAAGGCTTCTTTGCACACCAGTGTCTCGACCATTAACGGTGAGGAACAATTTGAAAGGGTTGCAGCGTGAGTCGAAATATATCCACCTCCTCCATCTAAGAGAACCGCCCCTATTGTAGTTGTGTTGGACGCGTGGTGGTATCCAGCATCCATGCGGCATACTCTCGGCTGCTGGGTAGAGGTGTTGGCAGCGTCCGGCAGTGGTATAGTGATGTTGGCAGTAGCCGGTGGTGGTGCGAAGGGTATAACAGCAGCAGCCGTTCCAGAGGCCACGGTAGTGGCAGGTGGCAGGTGTGCGGACGGTGGCGAGTGCACAGTGCGCCAGGCGTGTAAGGCGGCCATAGCGGACGCTAAGAGTCTCCTCGGCATCGGCAAAATGGCTTCCCAAACCGCCCCATTTCTTGATCTCCAGATATAATAAAGAATCGCAGCTGTGTACATAACACCATCAGTATCAAAAATATTCAAGATTGCACTAAACCAATCATGAAAAACATTTGTAACAATGTTGAGGATTGTAAGGTTGGATTGGTTCCAAACGGATCTTGCATAATCACACAAGACTAATAAGTGCATAGTATCCTCATGCAAACTCCACACATGGCACTGCACAAATCGGATGAACATCTACCATCTTTATAAGCAAGTTATTTGTAGTGGGGATGATATCACTAATTGCTCTCCACAGGAAGGTTTTCCACTTGGGGGTAAAAAGGGGTTAATTGCTTGATTTTTGTGAGTTCTATGAGCTAATTGGAGCTTTTTAAAGTTCAAGTGTTTAATTGTACATTTTAGTATAGTTTGAGAGGTTATTTGACCCTTATCCCTTTCATTAATGTAGTATACAAGTTTATATTATACTTCATTGTATTCGAATTAATTTAGAAAAACTTAAAGTTGCCCGCATGGGTAGCTCAACTGGTCATAGAGGTTAAACTTTGGAAGAACAGTGTGGGAGCAACTTCTCAAAGTGAAGGGGGCTCCTTGTGCGCAGTGAGCACCGGTCTAGCCTCTGTGGTTCATGTTCAGTTTTGGAAGAAAAACTTAAAGTTGATCTAACTAAAAGAAATTTAAATTAAAAAGTATTTATGAATATAGTGTTATTCAAATTATTTTATCTAATTGATTATGTTTCATATTTTGTCATAAATATTTTCATATTTTTACCACACCCAAGTATATTTTTGGCTCTGACCCTAAGTATCATGTAATCTATAAAAAAAACAAAAAAACAAAAAAAACATTATATTGTAATTTATAATGTATTTTGTTTTTTAATCTTATTATGATTGTTTGATATTTTGTCATTGGCATTTCAAACGTCATTTAAACTTCGCTCTCACTCAGTTGATTTTCTGGATCCGTCCTTGCTAAAAACCTATATGATAAAAATAATCTATTCTTATTTGCCACGTCAGAGAATAAAAGTGAGGGTGTAAAATTCTACATTAATTAACCAAGTTCGCAATGTAAACCTTCAGTGAGCGTTTGGTTCGGGTTATATATAATAACTAGGATTATATTGTGTTTGTTATCTAACATTCCTATGTTTGGTTGGAGTTATATAACATTCCCTTGGAATCCAATATTGCCTCCACATAAGATTTTTCCTTGTTTTTGAGGGAATGTGATTCCCTTGTTCATCTTAGGTAATGTTAAATTCTCTTGCCATTTTATCTTCTTTGCCCTTAACATCAAAGTGAAAGCTTGATTTTGAACTTTATTTTATTTATTTTATTTTTATGAAAAAGGACTAGATAAGGGAAAACATAAATTTGAAAAAGAAAGAATATTATATTATAGCAGTTTGACACATTTTCATGTTTGCAAGGTGATTTGTAATATGAGGGTATTAAGGTAAAATAACCATTATAACATAAACAACAAATCATCAACCAAACAAGTTTATATTACATATATCCCAGATTTTACCAAATACTGGATTCTAACATTCCTAGTAATCTAACATTCTGTGAACCAAACGCCTCCTCAGAGTGGAATAAATTAAGGTGGCGTTTGGTTCATAGAATAGGTTATGTTATCAAGTCAAAAGTAGCAGCAGTTGCCCTAACACCTGAAAACTAAGCTGTTTGGTCTTTAAGAGTGCAGTGTTTAGTATAGCTGAAGGAGGAGATGGAATAAGGTGGGAGACAGCACAAAGCACACTAAATATATAATGGCATATATGGGTCGTCGTCTGATCTTGATATATACATATATACTTGAGTGATCGAGGGAATGAAATTATTATTATTAGAAATGAGAAGCGAAGCCACATTGTGGGGACGAAATTAAAGGGGTTTTCTTTAGATCAAATGTAGTTTTTTCTAGCTTCTTTAACGCGTTTGTCTGTCCTTTCGGATTCCTATAAATACCCACCAATTCCATGCATTAATCAGATGAGCTTTCTTGTCTGATCTTCCAATGGCGAAGCATATACTCTTCTTTGTGCTGCTACTGGGGCTTGGAATTTGCTCAGCAGCCAGAATTCTATTGAATTATGATGCTGGGTATGGCGCCGGCTCTGGTGGTGGTGGTGGTGGAGGTGGAGGGGAAGGAGGCGGGTATGGTGGTGTAGGTTATGGGAGTGGAGGTGGTGGCGGGTCTGGGTATGGAGGCGGTGGAGAGCATGGTGTAGGGTATGGTGGAGGGGGCGGAGGGGGAAGTGGCGGTGGAGATGGTTATGGTGCCGGTGGAGAGCATGGTGGTGGGTATGGGAGTGGGGGTGGTGAAGGAGGCGGCGCGGGAGGCTATGGAGGCCGTGGGGGTGGAGGTGGGAAAGGTGGTGGAGGAGGTTATGCCGCCGGTGGAGAGCATGGTGGTGGGTATGGGAGTGGGGGTGGTGAAGGAGGAGGTGCGGGAGGGTATGGGGGTGGTGGAGAACATGGCATTGGGTATGGTGGTGGAGGTGGCGGTGGAACTGGTGGTGGAGGCGGTTATGGCGCCGGATATGGTGCTGGAGGAGGAGGAGGTGAAGGGGCAGGGGGTGGATACGGTGCAGGAGGACAAAAAGGTGGAGGACAAGGGGGTGGCGCCGGAGGAGCCGGAGAAGCATCCGGCGGTGGTGGCGGAGGACACGGAGGCGGTGCTGGAGGAGGTTACGCCGGAGGAGCATCCGGGGGTGGCTGCGGACAGGGAGGCGGTGCTGGAGGAGGTTATGCAGGGGGAGCCGGAGGAACTTCAGGTGGCGGCGGAGGAGGACACGGTGGCGGTGGCGGTGGAGGTTACGCAGGAGGAGCCGGCGGAGCATCCGGTGGTGGATATGGTAGTGGAGGAGGAGAGGGTGGGGGAGCAGGAGGGGCATACGGAGGAGGATACCCTGGTGGCGGCGGCAGCGGCGGTGGAGCTGGTGGAGGAAGTGCGTACGGCGGCGGAGGTGAGCACGCAGGTGGATATGGTGGCGGCGCAGGCGGTGGTCACGGTGGTGGCTACGCTCCTTAAGCATTACAAAATGGAAGCTTGGAAGGATTCGTCTTCTTGCCTATATGAAATAATAATAATAATAATATTTGGAAGAATAATAATATATAATAAGAACATAATTACGTACTTAATTAATTACGTGAGGGCAAATTAAATTATTAATAGGGAAATTAAAACTACTATTTCTATATGTATTAATTAATGTTTGTTCTAATCAATATACTTAAATTTATGATTTTACATGGTGTATTATTTTTTCTTTTTTTCTTTTTACACTACCAGCAGTCATTCTTAGCTTGTCTCACAATCTATCAACTCTACAATATTAATAAAGATCAATCAATTTAAACTCTTCAAAGAATAATCATAAAAATTTAAGAAAATTCATGGTAATTCACAATCCAATTTGCATAGAAATTAATTTCTCTACGTGTTTATTAATTAAGTAAATTCACTATCATTGTATAAGCGCTTTAACTATTTTAATACATAAGTAAGCACATATAGAATCCATGCAAGACAGTTTTATAAAATAGTCATGTGTATTAAATCTTTGAATAAAACGATTCATTATTATTTTTATTATTTTTTGAAAAAGTTTTTCATAATTATTGAAATGATAAGTAGTACAGAATACATGAAGGTAAATTAAATTACCTATAATTGACCTACTCAGAAAGTTAATAGACACCTCTCAACAAAAGTCAAATTTGGAACCAATTACTAATTCAATGTCCTATCATATTAGATGAAAACAATTATTATTATAATGAATAATGAATAATATGATATCTATCAACATTAATTAGTTAGTTAGTTAGTTAGTATGTATTTTAATTTTTGAAACTAGTATTTAAATTTTAATATTTTATTATTAAAAATTAAAATTATTTAACATTTTGAGTAGGAGTTGACGGGGAATAGGGAATCCCCGACCCCGTCTAATTCTTGGCAGGGGACAGGGATGGGGACGGAGTCGCGGGGACAGGGACGGGGAGTATACTCCCCGCTCCCGCCCCGTCCCGTTGCCATCCGTAAATGTGGTATGAATTTTATAATGGAATAAGGGTCAAAATGGTCACTCAACTGCACACCAAATTACAATTAGGCCATGAACTTAAAAACAATGCATTTAGATTCATAAACAACACAAATTCGTGTAATTCAATCCAAAATTACTTGTTTACCTGAAGTGGCGGTTACCAATTTTAAAAATTATTTTTTAAAATAATGTGAAATAAAATAATTAATTAAAATTAAAAAAAAGAAGAAGACAAGAACGGCCGGAGACGAAGGGACCTTCACCCCTTCGTTTCCATGGTTAGGAACAAAGCCAGTCGGAGACAGATCTTTGAAAGTTTTAATAAATTTATAATAATTATAAATGAACACCGTATTTTTTCGATAATTATAAAATTAACTTCACATTTTTTTTACTAAAATCTTCCGCCATTATTGAACCCTTATGAGTAGCCGAAATCAGTGTTCACTTTTACAGGAAGACCTGTTCGTGCGTGTGTGTGTGTGTGTATATATATATATATATATATATATATATATATATATATATATATATATATATATATACACACACACACACACACATTCAAATAAAAACACCCATTAAATGTTCACAAAACATGCGAATCAAATTTTATATTTACAAGAATTACAACCTCACAAGTTTGAGAGTAATTTATATAAAAAAGATAAATTTTACACTTCGCAGATATAAAAATAAAGAGATATTAATATTTAAATTATTGAATTGTCGCTCTATTTAAAACCAAATAAACAGAATAATAAACGAACGACTTAATTAAGTAAAAATACAAAACTCTAGGGATGTGTTTGGTTCGCACATAGGAATCGGAATCGGAATGGGTATCAAATACTTGGTAATGGTAATGAGTTTTGGTGAAAGTATTTAACATGTTTGGTAGTAGGGTGGAATGAGAATGGTTACTAATAGTAGTGATTAAGAATGAATAACGTAATGAAACCCTTATTGTACTTGGGTATGAGTTTTTCAATTGATGGGGTATTCGAAACCCATAATAGTGTTCTAAAACCTATTAACCAAACAACAACAATCACTTTTATACACATTCCCATGGGCAAAACCAACCAATCAAACACACCCTAGGATTACATTAAATTACCAAGATTGTTTAGGATTGAATACACTCCTAAATTATTTTCAAAAAAAAAAAAAGAATACACTCCTAAATTAGGTATTAACTCCAAATAATACTCTCGCTCTATTCTTCTCTATCGGACAGCAGACGCTGATACTCTGCTCAGCGGTTAGAGAGAGCACTCACTAAACAAAAATGGCACAATTCTGGAAGCCGGGAACTGAGCGGCCCCGCCTCGTCGACGACGAAGACGGCGGCGTTCTCCTCTACTCTTCCACTCCTTCTTCCTCCTCCGGGTATCATCCTCTCTTCCCCTTCATATATGTATATATGCGACTGAGCTTTTGTTTTCACCCTCACTTAGTTAATTTATGCTTTTTTTTTTTTCTTGTAATATTGTCTTTAACAGATTTGGATACGGAAATATAGAGAAACAGAGGCAGAGGCTACCGGTGCACAAGTACAGAACTGCCATTCTCTATCTGGTGGAGACTCATGCCACCACTATCATCGTCGGCGAAACCGGCAGTGGGAAAACAACTCAGATTCCTCAGGTATTTTCTCAGATTTGTCTAACTCTTCGTTTTTTCCCTACATTATAAAGTGTGATCATTTTTATTTCGTTATTGGACTGTTTGTACATGTGAATGCGTTGAATAGGAATTTTGATTCCAACTTTGGACTTTTGGAGGATTTTTTTTTTTTTTTTTGGAAAACATTGTTGTTTAGTACTTTATGTGAATGCAGTATTTGAAAGAAGGTGGTTGGGCAGAGGGAGGGCGCATGATTGCTTGTACTCAACCGAGGAGATTGGCTGTGCAGGTATTGCTTTTTGGACTTTAGCTATATCAAGTTCCTGTATTTGGCTCTTCACTTGACTTTAAGTTGTTTTAAGTATATTGACTGTTCTTGAACTAGGAAAGAAACAGGGACTTTATTGACAATTGATACTGGGATGAGTAGATTTGTGAGTATGTTGGTTTCTAGGGCATTTAAAGGGCTTGTTAACTACATCTTGATTTTTCTAACTCCATTGGTTGTTTCAATTTGACACTGATTTGCTTAATTGAATTTATGCCACTGTTTATTTCTAGTGCATTGCCTATTAGTCTGTCAATTGTAATGTTTAATTAGCTGCCTATGAGTAAACTTTCTAATGTCTGTCAGTTAAACTGAAAAACTTTATTGCATCGTTAATCGTGACTTTTGCAGCCTATTTCTTGTTCTTATTTTATTGTGAATATTGATAGATCATAGATGTTAGTTACATGACACTTGAAATATCTATTAGAAGGTTCTGAATTTTCTTTCTGCAGGCAGTTGCATCTAGGGTTGCTGAAGAGATGGGAGTAAAACTTGGTGAAGAAGTAGGATATACAATTCGATTTGAAGACATTACAAATACGGTGCGAATCTTCTGTATATTTTAAGATTATGAATTCTGAATTCTTTGAAAATAACACCTTACAAGTCATAGATCCATCACAGGAAAAGTTGTTAGCTGTCTGTTTTGCACTGTTAGTCACTAGATCTCTGTAGCATCATATGCTGGAGAAGAACAAACTTTGTATGTGTTCTTGTGTGACTAAGTCTGACCTTCATTAATGATGAGAATTTTCTATTCTGGCTTCACAGGACTTAACTAGAATCAAATTCCTAACTGACGGAGTATTGCTGAGGGAAATGATGGATGATCCTCTACTGAGCAAGTATAGGTACTCAGTTTGGGTATTTAAGCCTACTGCCCTACTCCCTACTTATTGAGGGGTGGTTAATATTTTTTGTTTTTGAAAAACTTGTACCTTCGCTAGTCCTTTCACTCTTTCATCTATTTACTATAATACACACTTTATTCATATACTATTTTCGGTTCATGAACATGACTGTTACTTGTTTGACCAGTGTGATAATGATAGATGAAGCACATGAAAGGTCTATTTCTACTGACATCTTATTGGGACTTCTGAAAAAGGTATGTTTACTATAAAATAAGGAATGAGCCCTCTCATGGGCCATTGCCTAAATGCATAATTTAGTTTTTTCTTACTCGAACTCATGTGGTATATCAATCTAAGCTCACTATGGGAATTCAGATTCAACGGCGCCGGCCTGAGCTGCGTCTAATCATTGCTTCAGCCACAATAGAAGCAAAATCGATGGCAGATTTTTTTAGTACCAGGTTTCTCCTTTACTGTTCTACTAACATTGTTCTATCTAATTTTACCCCATATTTAACAAATCAAAGGTGTTTTAGTTCTAAATCCAGAAGACAATAGTTGAATAGTATGAAATATCTGATTGGTAGAACTGGTCATCAGAACTTATGCATTTCTGTTCTTCAGTTAAATTTTTTTTTAAAGAGAGATAGCTTCATTGTAAGATTCTAGTAAGAGAACTTGTGGGGGTAGGGGGACAAAAGTGTTGTTCTCAAGACTACTCTGGAGGCTATCATCCAATAGAAAATATGAAGCTTTTGATAGCTAAATGGTAGTTTCTGTCTCATGTATGACTATATCACAATTAGTGCCTGGTAGTGGTAAATTGGTAATTGTTTACTTCTAGAGTTAAAATTTTGTACACATTTTTCCAGAGTAATTCCATTCTTTATAGATCTGAGTAAAAAATCTTTGCTGTAAGAATTGGAGTTGATATCATAGAAGATACTGATCCAGAGTTTTCACTCAGCCCACATTAAAGATTTGTAAAACATTTTCTATGATCTTTTGCCTTGTTGGACCCAAAAATAAAATAATTGTTGGTGCATTTATTCTCGTGTGTGCAAAGTATTCATTTGCTTGTTATGTAAATGCAATATTTCCTTCATGTTGTCCAACTTTATCTAGGACTATGAACTGAATTCATTCTGCCTTTTATCTTCTGTTTGTGCCAATCACATTACTTATCAAACATTTATACTTTAAAAAATAAATAGAAGGCGTCGCCTATCAGAGCAGGAGGAGAATGGACCTAGTAGAGAACCTGCCATTCTCTCAGTAGAGGTATATGCTCTACGCCTTGTGTTTCTTTCTGAAATTTGGTTGGCTTACATAAGGCTTTATGACTGAGTTTTAATGAAATTATGAATTTTATGTAAAAAGTAACTTTTTTATTTTTTTTTTTTATTTTATATTTTTTATACTTCAGGGCAGAGGATTTAATGTGGAGGTTTTTTATGCTGACAATCCCGTGTCTGATTATGTCCAATCTGCTGTTTCAACAGTGTTGTCAATCCATGATCATGTAAGCTGGAGCATGTGTAATAGCATTGTTGAACTGTTAAATGCCTCCTGTTTGTAGAGCTATTCTTGTGTCAGCCTTGTTGTCATATGCAAGAACCTGGTCATTTTCTATGTTGGTTAATCACTTCTGCCTTTTCATGTCCTTAAAAAAAACAAAGAAAAAGAGTAAGAAAAAGAAAAATCAGTCTTTCCCTTGAGAAACCGAGAAACATTGCCCCAAGATAGAATTAGATAGAACATGGCATACAATATGCCTGTGCTGCACTTTGCCTAGAAGTTATTTACTCATATGGGGGACATGGATGTTAAAGTCAGTTACAATTATTTTTTTCGAAAAAAAAAAATTAATTGTCCAGAAAACAAAAAGGAGAAGGAAATTTCGAGACATCCTCAGAGAATTAATTAATTAATTATTTTTTTTTCATATTTCATATCATCTTGTTTTCAGGATAAGAGTGCTTGACTGGAATTATGATAAAGATGAAGTTTCATTGTCTTTTCTTTGTTTCCTTATTTTTCATTTCTTTATTATAATACTACTGTAGGAGCCAATGGGAGATATCTTGGTGTTCCTCACTGGACAAGATGATATTGACACTGCAGTTCAGATGCTTACAGATGAAGTCCATAGTAAACAAAAGAAAGGTAGTTGCTGTAGTAGTTATAATTATGGGAAGAAATCTTATCGAATATAAGACTGTCTATGTTCTAAAAGGTTAGACTTATATTTATTGAATTAAATTAACTTTCTAAAGGTGTTCATGGCTTAAAATTATAGTGCTTTCTTCTTTTGTGCTAAGTTTAATGCAATTGTTTCATAGTCCCTAATTTCAACTTTTGAAGACTAAATTTGCATGATCTTCTTTTCAATGTTTTCACATTTTGTTGCTGGTCATGGTTGGTTTGTAGAAATGTCCACTTGAAATTTCGTCCTGCTCGTAGTTGTATTTCAAGGATTGCATAGCCATTTAAAACAAATGTTACCTCTCCACTCTTAGGGCATCCTCAATAGTTGAGGATTTTTTTCCATTTTTTTGTGGGCCCCAACATCCACCTCATCATCCACTATCTCACTCAATCACAAAAAAACCCTTCTCCACATTAGTTTGAAGTTTTTTCTCAGTTTTTTATGGACCCACAATTTGACTATCCTATATTTTAATTAATTATTTATTTATTATCATTCTAAAAATTATAATTATAATTATAATTATAAAATTAATTTAATATTATTGATAATTATAAATTTAATAATAATATTATTGATAAATATAAAATTTTAATTTAATTAATAATTACAAATTTAATAAATAAAAATAAAAATCAATTTAACAACAAAAAAAATTAAATTATAAAAATAAAAAATAAAAAAAACAAGAACTGAACGGCTAGTTCTTTGTGAGAAGAATAAAACAAAGAATAAATTTGGATAACAAAAGTTAAAAGAAAGACTCATGTCAGTGAAACAGTCGTACGATGCTGACAAAATCCTCATTTTTGCAGGAGGAGCCATACACCAAACACCTCACTTCCACATTAGTTAAAAACTCAACCTTCAAGATTTTACTGTTTGAAAAACCATGTATGAACCCCTATTGGGGATGCTCTTATGAAATATAGTGAGTAATTTTCATTACATTTACATAATGGAAACATTTTAGCTTGCAAATGACTTCTGGAAGTTACATTAATGACATTAAGGATGGTCTCGTGCTACACCCTCTCCCAAATTAGTTTCCTTCATATTTTCATTAAAACAACACTGTTCATCACAAAGGGCAGCCAGTCTGCAAATTAGTCAAAACTATCGATACAAATTGTGTTTCCAAGAACAGTCCTATGCTCCAAAATGACCCCACCCCCCCCCCCCCTTCCCCCCTTATACTATATGTGATTGTTTTAATGGAATTTTGAGGAAGTAATCATGTCGAACTCTTATGTTTCAATCTTTAATTGAACTTTTCCCAACTAGATTGGGAATAGAGCCCAGTTGAGTTTAGTTGAAGTGTTGAACTGTTTACTGAAGTTTTGATGTTAGTGAATGGATATTTTATTTCTCATAAAGAACATAGAAAAGGGGTGCACCTATACATTTTAGTTGTATATTGTTGCAAAAAGGGTGCAAACTATATGTTTTTAGTTGCATTTGGTTGCAATTATTTCACATTGCTAGATGAAAACATTTCAGGATCTCAGCTCTCCTGTTTGTTTCCTTTGTTGATAGTCTTTCATTATAATTTTCTGTATGTATATACATTCATAGCTTTTACATATATGTGTGGATGGTATACGCAGATATTTATTATGCCATGTCTAGTTTGGTGTCATAAGAATGATCAAAGGAAATATTATTTATTCCACCATATTTCCTCTAGTGATCTCTGACAGCTTGGCCTGCTTTACCATGACTCATTGGCAGGGTTGATTTTTGTACCACTCTACTCAGGACTCCCACGAGCGGATCAGGTCGGCAATTTATAGCACTGTGTTAATATTTGATATTCTTACATTTTGTGACCAACCCGCCTTTTGCATTCAATATTTCTTTATTTTATTTTATTTTATTTTTGTTTTGTTTTCTGGGCAGGATATTGTGTTTACTCCAACTCCCAGAGGAAAGAGGAAAGTGATAATATCAACAAATATTGCTGAAACATCATTAACTTTAGAGGTAGTGAGTCTTTGATTTTGGGATAAATGGGAAATGTAGATTAAGTTTATTGAGCAATAGTTCTGTTCTGTAACTGTCTTTCCTCCAGGGTATTGTCTATGTGGTTGATAGTGGATTCTCAAAACAACGGTTCTACAATCCGGTATAACACTCAACCCTTTAAAATTTATTTATTTATTTTTATTTTCACTTTCCTTTCTTTCTTTGTGCAACCAATCCAGCTTTTGGTATCAGAGGCTTGTATTGCAATTATTATGATGTGTATATGCTGTTTTGAGTACTCACAAATTGACAAGTCATGCCAAACAAGGTTGCTAAGTTCCTTACTACAAGTACTAAATATTGTAGTTAACAAGTGCTGTGAATTATGGATGTATTTCAAAAACATTTTCTGCCTGTAACAGAAGTATTTACTCCTAGCTGATTTTCAAATGGGTCATCAACTTGCTATGACAAGCTTAGTGAACATAAACTGGAAGGTGTTTTAAGCTTATAAGATTATGAAGAATAACATTCTCTATCTTAGATTTGTTGCTGCCTTAAGGAGGGACTCAACAGTAACATTAAGTTTTGCTGGCAGGTTTATTGCTATTTTATTTATTTATTTATTTATTGTTTTTGATTTTTGTTTTTGTTTTTGTTTTTTTTGTTTTGTTTTTGTTTTTTGTTTTTTTTGGGTGTTTTTTTTGTTTTTTGTTTTTTGTTTTTGTTTTGTTTTTGTTTTTTTGTTATTGTTATTGTTTTTTGCTTTTTTTGTTTTGTTTTGTTTTGTTTTGTTTCTGTTTCTTGTGAGAAATGCACCAAGTATGTGATTTTCAGATATTGCAAATGGTTTTACATTCTGATATTTGTTCTACTTTACTTAAGATTTCAGACATTGAGAATTTAATAGTGGCCCCCATATCCAAGGCTTCAGCTCGACAAAGGGCTGGTAGAGCTGGAAGAGTTCGACCTGGAAAATGTTTCAGGTATTGACAATTTGACATCATATGCAACTTGCCACCCCCATCCCCTGAGATAGCCACATGAACATAAAAGTGGTTGTAGGTGTTAGATGACACTCTATTTTTTAATATTAGTGTTATTTTTGCTTGTATGCAATCGAATTTGTTTACTAGGTACTACATATACTGGGAAAGTTTGTGTATGGTCAATAGTAGTTGTTACTTTAATTTTAAGTTGTAGATGCCCTTTATTTTATTCAGTTTTACATGCTACTTTCTTTCTGGGTGACATCCGCACTTACATTTCAATGTAAAATTTATTTGTTGGCTCTTGTTCTTCTCCATAACCAGGCTCTATACTGAAGAATATTTCTTAAATGAGATGTCTACCCAGGGAATTCCTGAGATACAGAGATCAAGCCTTGTTTCATGTGTTATTCAGGTATGCATTTAAACCAATTGATACTGGAGTCATACCTCTTTCATGATAATACACTTCTATTTTGAGTTCTGAGGTTTTAGAATGGTATTAACCTGCTCTGCAGGGGTTCCTTAGAACAACAGGGTCTCTGTTCAAGATTAGGAACTAAACAAAAATTTTGTCAACATCATCTAAGGGCTTCTCTTTATATCATGAAAATAAATGACTTTGAATGACATTCTTATTTTTATGCATGTGATGATAGGTGTGTCAAATCCCTCATAATAAGATTCTCTTTTTTGGCCAAATATCTCTTGCAAATTCAAAATCTTATTCTGCTAGTTTGTGAAGGCAATGTATTAAACAGTTTTTCTGTGTTACTGTCCTTTTCCATTTCACAGTTAAAGGCCTTGGGCATTGACAATATATTAGGGTTTGATTGGCCTGCATCTCCATCACCTGAAGCAATGATTAGAGCACTTGAGATATTGTACTCACTTGGAGTACTTGATGATGATGCTAAACTCACTTCACCTGCTGGATTTCAAGTTGCTGAGATTCCATTAGTATGTTGAAAGAATTATGGTTTAGTCTGATATTTCTATATGGTTGATTTCCTTAGTCTGGGATAGATTTACACTTCATTTCCAGTATCCTATCTTCCCTATTTAATTATTAGCCTAGAAAGTTGTCAATTGTCTCAATGTCATAATTTTTATAGGACCCAATGATCTCGAAGATGATCTTGGCTTCAAGTGAATCTGGATGTTCTGAGGAAATTATTACCATTGCTGCGGTTCTCTCAATACAGGTAACTATTTCCATTTTAATTGAAATAAAATGAAAATATTGTCATGCATTCTGTATGAGTTTTCACCTTGTACTCTAACTCTGTATTTCTTGATGTCTTTTTTAACTTGATGTAATTTGTTTTTTTTCTTGTTTTGCAGTCCATCTGGATTTCCCTGAGGGGAGTACAAAAGGAAATGGATGAAGCGAAGTTGAGATTTGCTGCAGCTGAGGTTCTATTCTTTTGAGTTTTGATCTACTCATGTAAATGTTAACTCAGCAAAAATTAATAAAACCTCAAATGACATTAATTTGATTGATGCTTTTATACTAAGTAATTGCAATTCAGTATTACAGAACTTAAGAGTGAAGCAGTACTAAGTGCTGTGAATAAAATATAAATAAGTTATCATCTTATTTATGACACACAATTACTCTGATATTTGTGATTCCAAATCCAATTTCCTTTCTATTCATATGCCAAAGAATACATGCATGTAAAGTTGAAGTCTCTAATTGGTATATCAAGAGTTTTCCACTTTGATTGTATGTAGTAAAATCTTCAGTATTGTTTCTTTGCCTCATGCCCTAATGTATATACAATTGATGCCATTCAGGGTGATCATGTCACTTTCTTAAATGTGTACAAAGGATTCATTCAGTCAAATAAATCTTCAAAGTGGTGTCAGAAGAATTTTATTAACTATCATGCCATGGTAAGTACCTAGTTCTGCAGTTGCGCATCATTTTTCAGTTATCTTTGGTTATTCTGCAGCTGCTGTTTTCATGAAGATTTTTTCTACTTTTCTAGTCTCTATGTATACTATATCATTTCCTATTGGCAATTAATCATAATTCATAAAAGGTTTGCTTTTCCTTTTTTCACCATTTTCTTAAAATGTGCTATATTTTATGCAGAAAAAGGTTATGGAAGTTAGGGAACAACTAAGAAGGATTGTGCTGCGCTTGGGCTTAAGTCTGAAATCTTGTGAAGGGGACATGCAGGTAATTTATGTGGCTTGTTCCTCTCAATTGTCTTCCATTGGTAGCATTCTGCCGATTAATCATTCTGAATTTGAAACATTGTTTTGCCTTTTCTTTTTGAAACTAATTGCTGCATCAGTTTTTATTTTATTTATTTATTTGTTGTGTGTTCTAGTCAAGTAATGGAAGTGAAAGTTGCATCTAAGAAAGACGTTGTAAAGAAAATCTGAAATAGCAAATTTGGCTTTCATCTTAATTATGCACAATTTGACAGTGCTTGCCACCGTTTTGAGACTCGAGAAGAGAGCTTTTTCTCTGGTGGGGGGTTTTGTTTGTGCTTTCCAAAATCCAAGTGTAACCTATTTCCTATCTAATAACTAGCCATGTCTAGCACTATTCATTTTTTTTTATCAATACAAGACTTCATAATGCGACTATCTTAAATTATTTTGCAGGCAGTAAGGAAAGCAATTACAATGGGATTTTTTGCTAATGCTTGTCGTTTAGAAGTGAGTATTGTCTGTCTGTCTGGGTTACCTTCTCAGTTGTCCCCCTTCCCCTACGATTCTTTTATCTCTATATGATATGATACATTGGTAATCTTTCATGATGTTTCTTCAGGCATTCAGCCACAATGGCATGTACAAGACTGTCAGAGGTTCTCAAGAAGTTTATATTCATCCTTCATCTATTTTATTCAGGTAAGTAAATATATGTCTATCTTATTGCTCCTGACAACACTTGGGTGGGAGAGAAAATTAAAGCTTCGTGTTTAAAGCTTGACTGAAGTTATTTTTAGTTCACTTTTTCATAATATTAAGTTTAGTATTAGTATACAAAATTTATATATTTAGAAACTACGCTAAAAGTAATATTAAACACAAAAAAATCAAATTTAAAAATAAGTAGGATAGATAAAATGGGACAGAGGGAGTAATATTCTGCAGAGAAACAGTAGTTGAGTGATACACATAATAATCTACTTTGTATCTTTAGCTAGTTTCAAATGTATTTGATGCATTAGTCTTCGAAACACTAGTCTGCTCTAACATTGTTCACTCTTCTACCTTTTCCTTGCTTCAATACTTCCTTTGTTATCTGTCATAGGAATTTTCATCTAATGAAATACTCTGTATGTGCGATCCTCCTGGTGCAGACAATGCACTTTGATTTTAAAGCAGGAGGAGGATTCTCTTTAATCTATTTGTTCGTTCTATAATTGGAACATCTCTAAACTACGTCTCATGGCCGGCCCTTTTACCTGAGCACACCATTTTTAGACGCTAGTGATATTAGCCTTTTACCACTAGGACTAGGAGAGGGCAGACGGGGGCTTGAGAGAGGACAATGAATTGAAACATTAAGAAAAAAAAAATTGGTGGTCCGTTATATTTTCATTATAGTAACTGTGAAATGGGGTTATATTTTCATTGTAATAACTGTGAAACATGTCTCATTGGAATTTGCAGGGTCAACCCGAAGTGGGTGATATACCAATCTCTTGTTTCAACTGATCGTCAGTACATGCGCAATGTCATTTCCATAGATCCTTCTTGGTTGCGAGAGGCAGCTCCGCACTTCTACCAACCTCAACACCCCAATTCTATCCCTCGTTGATTCGTCTCCTCTTTCTTACTCCCAGAAAGTTAGCCTGATATTGTATATGCATTAGCTGAGGTATTTATTTATACATACATTACTTAGAATTGCAATATATAGTCTCAACTACACATTTCACTTCATTTTTAGACCTTATTAGTACCTTAAATTGTCGTTCTGAATTTCTAATGTTATCGGCATTCACTTCTCCCTTTGGTCTGTTGTCACACTCTTTCCACTTTTCTGGCTACAGTTCATGGATGGTCATTGGAATGTCTCTGCCTGAGCCTTGAAGTAGATATAGTATTCACTTTGAGTGATGAGGAGAACCCGCAGCCACTATTTGAGGATGTACACCGAGTAAACTCACATTGTGACCTTAGTTGACAAAGGATCACAATGAGGTAAATCAGCTTAGGTTGTCTATAGCCGCGATCTGCTCAAACCAAGAATGCTAATAGACCACTCTTGTTGAGAGTTAAACTTGTAACCTTGTGATTATTAAGTCAACAACTTAATCAACTTGGTCAGGGTTGTCCCCTATAATTTTCACCTTTTAGTTCTTGGTACTTGGTAGAAGTTTTGGGTCCATTTTGTAGGTTTCTTTTTTTGGTACAAAATCATGTACTTATAAATTATTGATATCTGTATTTGATAAAGTTATATTTCTTGCTTTGCTTAAAGTACACACGAGGATACACTGCTGCGAAGCATAAAATACGTTTTTTCGCATTATTGGCAACTTTTATTGTCTTTGAGCATCTACATTTGCACAACATTTAAGAAGCCAAGTAAGAGATAAAGGAGGGAGAGAGAAGAAGAAAACAGAGGAAAAAAAAAAAAGAAAAGAAAGCGCTTAATGCACCAGCTGGCGCGTGCGTAGCTGGACATTGTATGTACGCGAAACGTGCACATTTGCGTATTTCTTTCGATTTTTCTCTCTTCGGGCTCACAAAAAATCAATAACTTATAGGTAAACAAAATGCATTTTCTATCCTTTTTCTCTATCCTCCATTTCATGTTGGACCCCACAAAAAATCAAGAAAAAACTATAGATGGGGTTGCGCTTAAAGCACAAAGTACGGTTTTTTTTTTTTTTTTTTTTTGGGTATTATTATGAACTTCTATGATGTCGGAGTAATATTATATTGTTCCTTGCATTTAATTGAATAATTGTATTTTAATTAATTTCATAATTTTAAGACCCTAAACATCTTGCTAATGCAGTGTTATTGAATAGTGGCAAAGCATGATTAACGTTGAAGCATTGATAATATGCTAATTTCATCCAAATAGAATAAAAACTCTCCACACATGAGACATGAAATGAAATGAAATGCATAATGACAGTACTTTCAAAGGAAAAACACTGTTTCTTTAAGAATCTTGTACAAGAAAGATTTAGATCTCTCCCGTTCTTTTGGCATCCCTCAAAGAATTGTATTCTTCTTCCATAAAAAAAAAATGCATGCCACTCCTAACACAAGAACCAGAATAAGATTCCAATTAGTACAAAGACTTTGATTTTCTATTCTCTCAAAGTCTTTTCCAAGTAAGCTCACCTGTCAGTACAACAAAATTAAATTTCATTATTAAAAAAAACATTCGATTGTGTGATTTATTATACTTGGTAAAAATGTATTCTATTTCTTGCTCCAAAGATTTCAACTCAAATTTTCTTGTGCATTGGATTGTATGACACAATTTAAAATTAGAGTGGTAGCGGTTGGACTAGTCCATCAAATCATCTGGGTTGGAGCAGTCTTAAATCTCCATACTAGCTCTCCCACTCAAAAGATGTGTCTACAATTCAGCGATGGGATTAATCACTGAACTGTCCCAATTGCTCTAATATTATCGTTCTCTCTAACGCACTCACCCAAGACAATTTAACTCATAGGTAAAGCAGAATATTTCCCTATGCATGCTATAAAAAGCAAGCTAAGCTTGATTGTGAGTCTAGTCTACTTACTAGTAGCAGCAGCATATATATATATATATATAGTGCTTTTTCCTGGATCAATTATGGCATTACGCTTGATCATCTTCATCCTCATACTTGGCCTGCAGGTTGAAGCTCGAGTTCTAAGGCTAATTTCATCCGAATCCGATGATATAGATCATGATTTGATATTATTATCAGATGGAGTTGATAATGTGAAGAACAGCCAGTCTCTCAGTCTGACACCTTCACCCAAATGTGTTCACGTCTATGGCTTCTTTCCATGTGCAGAAAACATTGGAGGCTACATTTTCTTGATAGCTGTGTACCAGTTGCTTCTGGTTTTAGGAGAGAAGCTGGTGACAGAGGGAAGCAATACAATGTTCAACATCCTTGGCACTGGCTTTTTTGGTGCTACTGTTTTCAACATCCTCAAAACCTTGCCCAGAATTGTCATGGTCATTGGTATTATTGCATGTCTTCTTATTACATCATCTTTCAAACATTAATTTCAACTTCATTAATTCATACTTTTTGTATTTGTTGCAGCATCTGGGGTGTTCACCAGCAAAACGAAAGCCCAGGAGCAGGTCTCGTCTGGGCTTAGCACTAGCGTTGGAGCCACGGTTTTCAATCTCACATTGATGTGGGGAATATGTGTAATTCTTGGCAAGACAACTGTGTCGTCGTCTAAACCATCTTCGTCTTCTTCACAAAATGCAGAGCCTTCATCTCTCAAATGTCTGCACATCTTAAGGGGTGCAGTTCGACTATCAGCTTAAACTTTTAGTTGAGATGGAACATATGCTTCAGTTTGGTATCAGAGCAATATATATGTTTATGTCTGTCTGTTTTGCAGATACTGGTATTACGATAGACAAGAAGACTACCTACACTGCTGGAATCATGCTTCTGTCTACTATTCCATTTATTCTGGTGCAGCTAGTAAGTAGCTTCAGCTCGATGTTCGAAAGGCGAATCATGGTCTCCATTGCACTCGTCATATCAATCGTTTTGTTGCTGTCGTACTTCGTGTATCAGGTTAGCTGAATTTTCAATCTTATTGTCGTCATTGGCAGACTGAATATGCAAAAGAAGTTTCACTTCAATTCAGCTTGGTTGCTTAATTGTGAGCTTATTGCCTTTTTTCTGTTTTTGTTGATTCTTTGAAGGCTATGAATCCATGGATTCAGGAGAGAAGTTTGGAGTATTCAAAGTATGAAAACTTGTTGGCTGGGTTCCTGAATCATGTGCAGAGGCATGCAGGAGGGAAGCTGATCAATGAGGAAGGCCAACCCGACATTCATCTCATCAAAAGGTGATTGTTAGGATAAACGTTTATTACTAGTTAAAAACTATAGCTCGTAGCGAAGACGTAACTTTATTCCCTTATATATAGTCACATTTTTTAGGAGGGTGTTGGACTTGGTCCTTCACAGGCCTTCCGTCTAACAATTCTCCTCCCAGCACCGGCCAGTCTTAAAGTGCTCAAAAGCTATAACTCACAACGAAAAAACAACTGTATTTACCTACCTTATATACAGTCACATTTTTTAGAGGCACTGTGTTGGACTTGACCCTTCACCGGCCTCCGTCCTACAACCCACCTAGTCACCAATTGCGGTCTTTGCGCCCAACAATTCCCTTCCCAGCTAGTCTTAACTACACAGTTCAAGTGCCCAAAAACTGTAGCTCACAACGGAAAAAACTTATTTCCTTATATACCATCACATTTTTAGAGGCACGGTGTTAGACTTGTCTATTCACCGACCTCCGCCCTACACGTACTCTCACCAATTGCTGGACTTAACAGTGATTGTAGCTGTAGAAAGTGCATTTGAGTTGATTCAGTGTTGTAATATAATTGACTTTGGATTTCTTGACAGATTGTTCTCTGAAACAGATAAAGATGCGAGCAAGTCGCTTACGCTTACTGAACTGGAGAATTTGGTGCATAATATGCAGTGTGGAGTGGTTGAGGTGGACAGAAGCTATGCTCTTTCTAAAATATTGGCATCATTTGATCAAAACAAGGATGAAGAAATCGACGAGGCAGAGTTCATTCAAGGCTGTGTGAACTGGATAGAGGAAGCCAAGCAGTTAGCAGTGAAGAATGACACAACCACCGCAAGGCATTTGAGCCAGGCAATCCAACATTAATTTCCTTATGAAACATGTATAAATCTTTTGGGAAAATGCCCCAAAACTAGTTAATTAGGCTCTTGAATTTTACAACATGTTTGCATCTAAATTCAAAAATCAGTTAATGACCTGTAATAGTAGGTCACAAGGGTTTCGGCGAGACTCCGACTAACTCGAATGCTCCATCAATTAAACCTGGTGACGGACGAACAGTCGCCGGTTGCCTTTGGAAAAAGCGACCAGTTGGTTGCCTTCTCCAATGAAGAAGGCAAGCAATGGTCACCTTTTCCAGCCAAAGAAAGCGACTTGCTAGTTGCCTTCTTCAAAGGTAACCGGTGACCGTTTATTAGTTGTCGAAGCGAGTCTCACTGGAATCTTAGTGGCCCGTTATTACAGGTGAATAACTGATTTTTGGGTTTCAATGCACGAAAATCATGGAGTTACTTGTAACTTTTAAAAGTTCAGGAATCTAGAGGCCTATTTGACCATTTTCTCAGAAATCTTTATGTTGCTATTCATTTTGAACATTGTGGGTGCAGGTGGTTGAACAAGTAACAAAGAGGCAAAGAGAGGAAATTGCACAAATTGAGCATCTCATGGCAAGAATCTTGAAACATGTTCAAGGCCATGCTCTTGAAGCTGAACATCTGCTCAGAGATGATGGGAGCCCCAACATCGAACGCATTCAACAGTATATAGTTTCTTCAAGTCCCAATCTATGATGTTTTTTCACCATCCAACATTATATTCTATGATGTTTGCAATAATCATCTGATCTACCTGTCTGTTTTGTTGTTTGTTACCTATCTGGTAATCTGGACTTACATACAGACTCTTCCGCGAATATGACTGTGATGGGAACAGCTACATCACCCGAGCTGAGCTGCAGAAGCTAATCATGACAGTAAAATTCGGAGAAGCAGTGCAGCTGGACTGTGAGTACTCGGTGAAGAAAGTGATGAGAGAGTTCGACAGAGATGGAAACGACATGATTGATCAGCACGAGTTCGTTCATGGGATGACCCGATGGCTTGATGAGGCGATTCGTGTCTCCAAATGCAGTGACAAGAGAAAGGCCATCGATGAGTTTGATAAGGTACTATATATACGGTGTGTTGTCAAGCTCTAGTTCTCAATCGAACAACCTCATTTAGAATTATCAGCTTAGACTTTTAGTTGAAATGGAGCACATGCTTCAATTTGGTATCAGAGTCATGCCAAAGGTCATGGATTCGAATACTGGCCTGGTAAACGCTTATCCTGAAAATATGATATGTTGTTGGATTTGCAGATAAAGTGGGGAGAAATTGACAAATTGGTGTATGAAGTGGAGCCAAATGAGAAGATACACAACAAGATACTGACATGGGCATTCAACAAATCATTGCTTCAAGTTGTGTTTGGGGTGGCTATCTTGACCATGTGTGCAAAGCCATTGGGGATAAGTATCCAGCAGCTCTCCGACGCCATGGGGATTCCTTCGTTCCTCATCCCCTTCGTGGTAGTCCCCCTCGCCCTCAACACGAGAATGGCGGTCTCAGCCATCTTCCCCATCAGTCAGAAGAGTTCCAAGACAGCTTCTTTGACATTTTCTGAGGTTAGTACTCAGTAGTCTTAATTGAAGCATGTGCTCCATCTCAACTAAAAGTCTAAGCTGATAGTTGGATTGCAAATTAATGGTTATATGCTCAACAGAAATAAAGTTGCGTCTTCGCAATCAATTGATCCTAATAACGAATTGATCAATGGTAGTGCAGATATACGGTGGGGTGGTGATGAATAACCTGATGGGGATGACGACGCTATTGGCAATAGTAATCGCGAAGGACCTGAGGTGGGACTACTCGGCTGAGGTGCTGACAGTGCTTGTGGTGTGTGGCATTGTTGGTTTTCTGGCATTGTTTCGAACAACTTACCCGCTATGGACTTGCTTGCTCGCGTTCTTCCTCTACCCGTTTTCTGTGCTGCTCTTCTATGTTCTTGAGTATGTGTTAGGCTGGGATTAGGATGAATGAATGAATGAAATTTTGCAGTAATATAATAATGTTTAGGTAAGTACTGTACTGAGTGTATGTGTATCCCAGCATGCAATAAGCTAGACTTAATTGTTAGCTAGTTTTAATGCTTCCTTAGCTTGAACAAGTGTTGATGTAAAGAAGAAGCTGGATTGTCATGCCTGGTGAACTGTATGTAGTTCACTGTTTCATATATCTAATCTAAAAGCTAATAAGACTTATTTAAGAGTGAATGAATGTACATTATACATTTTATTTATGTATGTTTTTTCCGTTATGTTTTTTATACGTTATGATATAAGAATTGTACAATATAATATTTTGGTAAAAAATTTTCTACTACTGTTATAACTTACCGGTATCTTTTCCAACTATATATTGTTACTATTAATGCATTCACCGTACTATATATTTTATTATCTTTTTCTATGATAATATTATATATATATATATATATATATATATATATATATATATATATTATATTGGAGTACGTACTAATATATAATATCAAATATAAAAATCAAATTTATAAAAATGATTTACATTATTATTATTATTAGGGATAAAGTACAAATAAGGCACTGAATTATTTGAAAAACATAAATTAAGCCATCGAACTCAAACAACCCCAAAAGGCTATTGGACCCCGAAAAAAAAAAACAACAACTAAGCCATTGAACCCAAAAAAAAAAAAAAGCAATTAACATTTTTAACAAGTTAATTCCAAATTTTTGCTGTTATTGTCAAATGTTTTTATTATTATTATTATTATTATTATTATTATTATTATTATTATTATTATTATTATCCACTTGGATAGCATTATATATTAAAATAATTATAATAAAAATAGTTTTATCTTATCGAGATTTGATTTATTTATTATTATTTTTTCACTGGATCTTCTGTTTAAAAAATAATAATAAATAAATAAGATCTAGGCAAGATAAAATTATTTTGATTATAATTACTTTAAAATATATTACTATGTAGGTGGATTATAATAATAATAAAAATCGTAAATAAAATAAACATTTGGCAATCTAGTTAGCAAAAACATAGCGTTAACCTGTTAAAAATGTTAATTGTTTTTTTTTTCCAGGTTCAATGGCTTATTTGGGAGTTATTTGAGTTCGATGGCTTAATTACTGTTTCCCAAATAGTTCAGTGGCATATTTGTACTTTATATTATTATTATTATTATTATTATTATTATTATTATTATTATTATTATCTAAAATTTAAATAAATAATATAAGATTTTATATAAAGTACTAACATTGTGCATCTATTTTTGCACATTGCACATAGAAAATACTAGTATGTACACACACACGCGCACGCACACACATCATGTCCAATATTAAAATATTAATAAATATAAATAATTAAACATTATAGTTCAAGATATATATACACAAATAATATATGTATTATATACACACATGCTCTACCATTCATAGAAATTGAATTAAAATATAATAAAAAATTAAATTAATTATATAATGGTTTTTGATAGTGTAAATACGTTCACTACTAAAAAATATGGCTATAGTGACGGACGGGTTCCGTCGCAATTAGTCACAATTTCGACGCAAAAGAGAAATTACGACATACTTTGCGACAAAACGTGATCGTTGCATCAGGTTGAATCGCAATTGCTCAGTTGCGACTGTTTGTTGCAATTAATTATTATCACCGACAATCATATTTCTGTCGCGATATATTTAATTTTGTCGTAATTTGTAACCGAAATCAATCGCATTAGTTTGTCGCGAGGTGTCGCAAATGATAATTTTGTTCGTCGCAATTATGCTTATTAGTCTGTCGTTTGTATCAAATTTTTGCCGCAATTGATTTTACAATCGTTGCAAATACTTGCTCATATTCGTCGTTGTTTCCAAATTTTTGTCGAAATGTATGTCGCAATTTTATTAATTTTAAATGTCATTCGTCAAATCAAATGTCGCAATTGTTGTTATATGTTTGTCGTTGTAATATGATGCAACGAATGTCGTTTGTTGTTGTTTTCCCCCTGAGTTATATACCTATAGCATATTTTCCCCCTAAATTATTGAAGTGGCTGTTTTTCCCCCTGAAATGTTAAATGGACATATTTACCCTTAAACTAAATATTTAATTTATTTTTTTTCTCCAACAAATTATGACCATAATTTGGTTCAAACCAAACAAACACTATAGCAACCAAACTGAAATATTCCAATTACAATTTAGAATCGAAATTCGATATTTAGAGTTTATTAAAATCGTGAACCGGAACGGACGGTTCATGTTCTGAACTGAAAAAATAAAATACATTTATTGTTGAATTTAGACTATTTTAAAATAAAAAATAAAATTTTAAAATAAAGACGGTTCAAAATCGCGAATCGGATTCGGAACCGCCGGTTCACGATTCAAGATTCATTTTTTTTGATACATAATTTTAATAAATTGACATTTAAATATTGGGTTCTAGATCTGAATTATAACCGGAAACTATTAATTCGATTGCTTTAGTATCCGGTTCAATTCAAACCGAACCGTGGTCATCCCTACGTATACGCAATAATTTGTTGGAGTAGTAAAATAAATAAAATGTTTACTCTAAGGATATAAATGTCAATTTAATATATTACGGGGAAAAAACACCACTTTTAGAATAATTGAGGGGGCTAATGTGCTTACCTAAATAATTGAGGGGGAAAAAGTGCTATAAGTATATAACTCAGGGGTAAAAAGTGCCATTTTCCCAATATAATTTTGTTTGTCGCAATTATATGTCAATTGTGTCGTAGTTAATATTATAATATATTATAATAATTATATTTTACGTTGTAGTGTTCGTCGCAATGTTTGTCATAAATCACATCATTCAAACTAGTATAATTTATAATTTTCCTGTCACAAATCTTGTGCATATATACAAAATAAGTATCACCCAATATAAAATAGTAAATTAAATTCATCATAGATATAATTAGTTTAATACAAATAGACTCCATCGCCCAAAAACAACAAAAAAACCACTAATATTATGGGGTTGCTAACTAATATCCTCCTCTAAAATGGAGTTAAGAGCTGTTAGCTAACATCATACTAATATACAAAACATAAATCCCAATGGACAAGCTAATCCAAAAAATATGTTGGGATAGTTTAGCTTGTCAAAGTTGTAACCAAAAAAAGAAGTTGATGTTAGCTTTGTACATGCATAATCACAAAATACTATGTGCTGCACCAGATTAGCAACATACTAAATTATCATATATGGTGCTTCCAATTCATCATGTCCATCCCCATTCCTATCATCATGTCAATCACCACCCCTATTACTTTTGGTTTCTTTGACTGTCATTTTGTGAAGTATTTGGATTATCACCACTTGATGATGGTGGAACATTGTCTCCAAATGCACTATCCATTGGATGATAGCCTAAAGAAGATAACATACCAGGGAGTTGTTCTGACAACCATTTCTTGAAAAGCTCTTGTAATGCCTCATTTGCTACATTAGGTATATTAGTAGTTGTGGATCTTTGGGTTGAATTTTCACCTAGAACAGACTTTCGGTTCTCAAGAGCTCCAAAACTATACAAATGGGAACGATTGATATCACCAATTGCATATTTTCATGCATCAGCATCAAATATCACTTGAGAAGAATCACAACCATGTTTCTCTTTTAAAGCTGTGTCATATTTCTCCTACACCATATTTTTTTATTTATAAAATCAGAAACTAATATAAGCATCATATAACTATAAAAAAAAAAACTTAAGTAACTAATAAGAAGAATAATACTTCTTACACTGACAGATTTTGATTTTCCATCCACAAATTGGCCACCATCTTTCTTACGAGTATGAGTTGCATTGAAGATTTCTAGTTGGGATGGTTCTCGTCCTAGTGATTTAGCCTAGCAATTATTAAAACAATTTATTATTAGCATAAAAAAATTTAGTTAAAATGACAAGTATTGTAAAATAGTGAAAAAACAGCATACCATCTTATGCTTATGTTTAACAAAAGAACATGAACCAGCAGTATGTTTGGTGACACTTTCTTCCTTTTAGTGTGTTGCGATTTTTTGCAGATTTCTTCATCCATTCCTCTTTGGACCAAATATTGTCCACAAAATGATTCCAAACTGGTTGCGGGATCCAACTTTCTCTATGCTCTTTTACTTTTTCCCAGTTAGCATTTGGATCATAGGGGTTAATTCCAGCCTTAGTGCATGCATTTTTTCTTCCTCTACTAATAGCATCCCTAAACCCCTTATTAGCTTTGGCATACCATATTTTATACACATTTTCATTTTTATCTTCATCCCAATGATATTTTTCCTAACATATAGAAAAATACGATTATATATCTTATGCTAAATAAAAAGAGAATATTGTTGCTGAAAATGTAATGAAATGCATCAAATGTTTGTTAAATAAATCAACACTATTACCTGAAATTTTGCCCATATATAAAGCAGCTTTTGTATCATCTGAAAATTGAGCCCAAGTTGGCCAAGGATCATTAAAATTTGATTTCAGCATAGCAGAAATGTCAGCAGCAACTCCATCTTCTAGAAAATCACTATACTTCAAATAATAAAATAGTTAAATACATGCCATGCAAGCTACTAATAAATAATTTCTCAATTAAGAAAAACATAATTATACCCAAAAATAATGAAATAAAAAGTTAATAAAACACTACCTCCCACTTATAACATTCAATTTGATCCTCTTGGAAGGATCAGATGGTAGAGCTCTACCTCTATTAGGCCCCCTCCTTTTTGTTTGTTTAGTTAAAGTAGTGGTAGATTCATGAAGTGATTGAACAGTAACTTCTACAGCTTTTTAAACATGATCATCAAGTGGTGTATTTAACAAAGGTGCATCAGATTGGATTCCATCAGATATAGATGCAACATGATTAGGTGGAGCATTGGATTGTGATCCATGAGGTGGTGCATTGGATTGCAATCCATCAATTAAAGGTGCAATAAGAGGTGTGGATTGCAGTACATGACCATTGACAAAATGTGATGGATTAGAAGTAAGATCATCAACAACACCTTGTGCAAAACGACTAGAACTTCCGCTTACTTGAGTTTTATTCTTTCTACTCCTGCCTCTAGTCACCATTTTACCTATAAGAAGGAAAAAAAGTATAGTTATAAAAATGAAT